TGTATTTACACGCAGTTGTTGTAACATCTTAACTGACGTCATTTTAGAATTTTAGAGTTGTGCCAGTTCATATCTCTAATTACTATTTTCCTTTTAGGCATGTTTTGGGGAAATTTTAAAAGTTTATTAGCGTCTCTACATATGATGTTCGGGTGAAACTGTTTCACTTTTTTTATTGTATAGAATTAAAGATTGCTATAGTTTAATAATCAGAATAGATTGATCTGATTCATTTTACATCGTGCTCATACTGATGAAGGATATCTGTTATCCGAAATTTTTATAGTTACATTTGTTCGTTTATTGTCATTTTTTGGTGATGTTGTACCCTTTAGACTGGTTTTATATATATATATATATATATATAACCAGTCAAATGCGTTTTGTTAAAATATACTTTTTCACTTTTTTTGGTCTTTTGGAAAATGTTGTTTGTGCTGTATTTAGACCACTCTACCAAGAAATTTGTTTTGCATGCACACGTATAAAAATTGCGGTTTTTATCCAACGCAATCAAAGGTTTGAACGTTGTTTTCAATTTAGACTTGTTTATATATATATATATACAACTCGTCCAAACATCAGCCTAACAATGTTAGATCTGTAAATTTGCTTGGAGGCGATTTGGTGTCACGATATCTCAGTAGCATGAGTTCGAATCCCGGCGAGGGAAGAACAAAATATTTGCGAAAGCAAATTTACAGATCTAACATTGTTAGGATGATGTTTAGACGAGTTGTATATACAGAATGTACACAGCCATGTATCACCATCACTGCTGGTGATCCGATGGATAAATCTGTTGTAGAGTTGTCACTGGTTCAGACGTATATATATATAATATATATATTGCCTTTATTCTCATATAGAAATTATTTCAATTAAGTATTTAGTTACATGGTCTTTGTTTTAAAGTTTATATCAAACAATGAGACAACATTGTTTAACCTTTTAAATACAAGAAGACAATTGTTTCGCATATCGAAATGGATTTTCATTAGCGCGTCTCCTTGCAAAAATGTTTGATGTTCTTTGCCATCGGATGAAATAAGTATTATGTCATAAGGTTTGGCCGCTGTGACATAAATATAGCCGCGACTATCTGTCGCAACATCAGATAAAAACATAATGTGTTCATTCTTAAATTCCCAATGTATGGTGCCTTTATAGTCACAATAGTACAGCGCATTAATGTAGGTATATAAGATCCCATCTTTGTATGGGCAAATATAATCCACTCCATCCGAAGGCAAACAATGTGAGTCGATGACACTTCCGTCATGAAGGTTCACTATTTGAATGCTTCTTTCAACTATTAAACATAGGTTTTCTCCACTCTGTGATAGAGCATAACATCGACCACTTACGTGAATTACATTTTCGACTTCTCCTGTTGATATGTTTATTATTTCTATTGTGTGGGATATCGGATAAGACAAAGCTACCATGTCGGCACCAAGAACATCCACTTCAGTTATTTTCCATGGATTGGAATGCCGCAGGGTATGACAAAGGTAACTACTGTCTGATGTATTAATAACAAAAAGTTTATTTTCACCTTTACTACAGCCAGTTATCACTAATCTTTCGCCCATTTTTAGGATGTCTAAGACAGCCATTTCTGGTAATAAATCGTTTAAGTCAAAAGTACGAGGAAAGGAGTTTAATATATACGGCCCAGTCATCGAAGTAACTGGAGTTTGGGCTTGTCTATCTGTTCCAAAAAGATAAAAAAAAATGTATATATAAAATAACACAACAGACGGATGTAATTAAACTTGACTATAACCTTTTGTATGAAGCAGAGGTATGCAGTAAAATATGTTTTCAAATCATTTTTAGATCATTACGCAAATGATGAATAACATCATTTTGTTTGCTCGGTTTATTCTATTAGTTGTTTTAAAAAATAGTAAAATGTATTGTACAGGATATCAAAAATGTAATCAATAATAAGTCATTTCTATTTTGTAGTGTTCAAAAGATTGTAGGTTGTTTCGTTTTGTCGTCCCTTGCCTGTTTTTCAAGTTTTAACAACGTACGTGTCTGCTTATTTGCACGCTTCAGGCTAATTTGCAAGTAGATAAAAAGTAATTCCATGTATGTAAAGAATAAAACAAAATTGAAGATTTTCAGATAAATAAATATTAACAATTCTAGACAAAACAAATTCCTGATTAAATATCGATTATTTACAGGTAGATATTGTTTTTTTCTTCTCGATTGTATTATGTTGCTTGTCGTCATAACATTGTCATCTATACATAATCATCCAATTTTTGAAAGGATATAATACGCTGCTTACTAATCTCTTTTTTTATTGCATTGAGAGAGAGAGAGAGAGAGAGAGAGAGAGAGAGAGAGATGAATAAATTGAAAACACAATAAATAACAGATAAAGGCTTATATGTGAACTTATTACTTTATTAGATAAAAAAAAGTAAGATCAATATTAAAAAAATCAATCAGGCAAGAAGGCTATCTCGAGATCCCTTGAACAGAATATTTGATGAACCGGTGATACCCTCGCAAAAAAAAAAAAACCAATCATCAAGTGCATTCAGGGTTGGCAAAGTATTACCCAGGCGGGGAAACTCGGGTTTTCCCGGGCTGTGCAATACTCCCAGAAACTGGTAATACTGGGCAATACTGGGTAATATGATTTTTCAAGCTTATTTGTACACAAAATAGTAAAAACTTGTTGTAGTTTAATAACATTACAGCTAAATATATGCATTTTATACAGATAACCATTGAGGGCCATTACTGAAGATTGAAAATTCAATTTTTTCCTTTTCTCCACTAATTCTATGTAGGCACACTTCAGGATACCTTGTTAATTTCCAAGCTTTAATGTTTCAATAATCCGATTTGAAACTTTGAAAAAATGAATTTTATGGCAGTGTTTAAGTGAATTGTACATTTTCATTTTTATACAATCATATTGCTAAATAAGCACCCTAAGGGGACAGGCCATGGACACTTACAGAAATCAAAAAGCTGATTATTGTTACATCAACAAATCTGTGTTATGATATGAATAATTACTTATTAATTAGTGATGTACATAAACATATGCTCAAACTTAGTAACCATTTTTAGTAATGATAAAAAAATGTATAAAAGTTATTTTCCTTACGTATAATTGTTAATTCTTAATATTAGTTATGTTTATTAAAAAAAAACAAATTGAGTTCTTCGACTTTAAGTCAACACTTTGACCAATCTAGACTGAGTGGCGATTAGATAGATTTTTAGGAGGATTATTAAGAAAAGCTTTTTACATACGTCTTATGTGTCTTCATGTACACTTGTCTAAGAGTTGCTGGACCATTAATCATGTTAATATTTTCTCAGATCTATACACTTTATATTAAGAGTCTCAAACAAGTGAACTTATAAATTAAAATACTATATCTTATTTTTATAAAAATCTTTAATGTATTGCATTTGTGATTAATCCTCTTTATAATTCAGGTCAGTATTTCATATTACCCAGTATTGCCCAGTATTACCCAGTAAAACCCGGGTTTTCCTAGTATTTCTGTAAAATTATTGTACTGAAAAAGTACAATAATTTTGTAGTACTTGAAAAGTTACATTATTCAGGTACATTTTCAGTACTTCAAAATTACAGTGCTGGAAAAGTACCTATGCAAAAGTAGTAGTGTAGGTTCTTTAATTCAGTCATGGACCCTCGATGTCGCGGGTATGGTGTAGTAATCATAATACAAGGCAATCCTTTTCAATAAATGAAAACCAAAACATAGAAATGAAATTGACTGTTATCGTTTTAAATATCTATCAAACATTTCTTAATTTGTTGGCTCATTTGAGTTGCAGCTGAAATCAACAATGCGTTTTGATATAGTTGTATACTGTAGACACTGTTCAGATTACTTTTAAGTTTAAATGATGACCTCATGCGCTCAAATACAACAAAAATACAGCCATGATAAGGAATGTTTTCTTGTCCTATGTGAACTAATGACCCACTATGACTATTCTTTTCAACGTTTACCATTTGATTTTTTTTCAACATTTTGCATCAAACATATCCTTACATGTAACCTATTTAAGACTTAAGTGACCTTGTCCATATTATTTTAAAAGCAACACTTCGTCAATGTCCTGTTATGCGACTTACCGACAGTCAGTCGGGAATTTATAAAGGTGTTTTAGCTTCAGCTACTTTCTACTTTCGGCAGGTGATGAATATATCCGGCAACTACGTTTTCAGTTAAACAAACAAAACATAATTCAAACCTTTACTGTTTGCGCACGTATATAACCAATGTGTGAAAATAATGTCGTTTCATTACAACGTTGGAGCTGCGTTTCTTTTCTAAGGTTGCTTATACATACCGGTAAACTAGAAAACTAAAATAACGTAACCGGGTGATTTGTCTATCTCATCATGACAGATGACGATGGAAATATTTCAAATGCGTAGCCACAATTCTGTCCTCTTTCCCTGTTGTATGACAACACCAAAATAGAACTTCTCACTTGTCATAAAACACATCCCACTAGTGGAGCAGGATTTTCTTACCCGTCCAGTGCACATAAGATCACCTGGATGTGGCTGGTGTTCATGTTGTGAGACGTGAAAGGTTTAGTTAGCTATAAAACCAGCTTTAATCCACTTTTTTCTACATAAGGAAATGCCTTTACCAAGTCAGGAGTATTACAGTTGTTTTCCATTCGTTTGATGCGTTTGAGCTTTTGATTTTGCCAATTGATAAAGGACTTTCCGTTTTTAATTTTCCTTGGAGTTCCGCATTTTTGTTATTTTACTTTTGTTCAGTTTCCAGTTTTCTGTATATTATTTTGTTGCTTTTTGTGTGTTTTTTTATCGTTTTTTCTTTACTTATAGTGTTGTCTGTGTTTCCTCAACTTTTGATTTTTATTCCCCCTTGGTTTATTCTGTCTCATTTTGTGTACCAGGCAACACAAAACCAGTCTTTCTATGAATGTTACATATACAATTAAAATAACTATTACAATTAAATATCATTTATATTTGAAACACATGTAAAAGCTACAAATCAGCAATTTGCATTACACATTAATCAAGTCTATGTATATCTATGAACATAATCACAAAAAAAAAAATATAATATATATATATATATATATATATATATAGATTTGAACGTTGTTTTCAATTTAGACTTGTTTATATTTTTTTCGTTTGAGCTTGTATTATATTTTCCTTCGGGTTTATATGATCCGTTCATCCTATTTCGACTCTTTAAAATTCAAGAGTCTGTCCTAAATTGAGGTAAATTATATGGCCTTCCAAATACCGTTTCGATCCCTAACATCACTGAAGAGACATTAATTGTCAAAATCCGGATATGGTGTACAAATTTTTACACCTCATGTTTGCGGTATACCGTCTTTTCTGCAAGTTTGTTGTTTTCTGTTTGGTATTAAATAAATATGTAAGATCCATTTTTTTTATATCTGGTGATCAATTTATTTAGAAATCGCCAATGGCAGTCAGCAGGGTTTAAGAACATCAGTTGTTCGACCTGTAAGTCAAATGCGTTTTGTTAAAATATACTTTTTCACTTTTTGGTCTTTTGGAAAATGTTGTTTGTGCTGTATTTAGACCACTCTACCACAAAATTTGTTTTACATGCACACGTATAAAAATTGCGGCTTTTATCCAACGCAATCATAGGTTTGAACGTTGTTTTCAATTTAGACTTGTATATAAATATATATATACAACTCGTGGTTTAGCGTGGTCTAGCGCTTCGGATACAGTGCAGGCGATTTGGTGTCACGATATCTCAGTAGCATGAGTTCGAATCCCGGCGACGGAAGAACAAAATATTTGCGAAAGCAAATTTACAGATCTTACATTGTTAGGATGATATTTAGACGAGTTGTATATACAGAATGTACACAGCCATGTATCACCATCACTGCTGGTGATCCGATGGATAAATCTGTTGTAGAATTTTCACTGGTTCAGACGTATATATATATATAATATATATATTGCCTTTATTCTCATATAGAAATTATTTCAATTAAGTATTTAGTTACTTGGTCATTGTTTTAAAATTTATATCAAACAATGAGACAACATTGTTTAACCTTTTAAATACAAGAAGACAATTGTTTCGCATATCGAAATGGATTTTCATTAGCGCGTCTCCTTGCAAAAATGTTTGATGTTCTTTGCCATCGGATGAAATAAGTATTATGTCATAAGGTTTGGCCGTTGTGACATAAATATAGCCGCGACTATCTGTCGCAACATCAGATAAAAACATAATGTGTTCATTCTTAAATTCCCAATGTATGGCGCCTTTATAGTCACAATAGTACAGCGCATTAATGTAGGTAAATAAGATCCCATCTTTGTATGGGCAAATATAATCCACTCCATCCGAAGGCAAACAATGTGAGTCGATGACACTTCCGTCATGAAGGTTCACTATTTGAATGCTTCTTTCAACTATTAAACATAGGTTTTCTCCACTCTGTGATAGAGCATAACATCGACCACTTACGTGAATTACATTTTCGACTTCTCCTGTTGATATGTTTATTATTTCTATTGTGTGGGATTTCGGATAAGACAAAGCTACCATGTCGGCACCAAGAACATCCACTTCAGTTATTTTCCATGGATTGGAATGCCGCAGGGTATGACAAAGGTAACTACTGTCTGATGTATTAATAACAAAAAGTTTATTTTCACCTTTACTACAGCCAGTTATCACTAATCTTTCGCCCATTTTTAGGATGTCTAAGACAGCCATTTCTGGTAATAAATCGTTTAAGTCAAAAGTACGAGGAAAGGAGTTTAATATATACGGCCCAGTCATCGACGTAACTGGAGTTTGGGCTTGTCTATCTGTTCCAAAAAGATAAAAAAAATGTATATATAAAATAACACAACAGACGGATGTAATTAAACTTGACTATAACCTTTTGTATGAAGCAGAGGTATGCAGTAAAATATGTTTTCAAATCATTTTTAGATCATTACGCAAATGATGAATAACATCATTTTGTTTGCTCGGTTTATTCTATTAGTTGTTTTAAAAAATAGTAAAATGTATTGTACAGGATATCAAAAATGTAATCAATAATAAGTCATTTCTATTTTGTAGTGTTCAAAAGATTGTAGGTTGTTTCGTTTTGTCGTCCCTTGCCTGTTTTTCAAGTTTTAACAACGTACGTGTCTGCTTATTTGCACGCTTCAGGCTAATTTGCAAGTAGATAAAAAGTAATTCCATGTATGTAAAGAATAAAACAAAATTGAAGATTTTCAGATAAATAAATATTAACAATTCTAGACAAAACAAATTCCTGATTAAATATCGATTATTTACAGGTAGATATTGTTTTTTTCTTCTCGATTGTATTATGTTGCTTGTCGTCATAACATTGTCATCTATACATAATCATCCAATTTTTGAAAGGATATATTACGCTGCTTACTAATCTCTTTTTTTATTGCATTGAGAGAGAGAGAGAGAGAGAGAGAGAGAGAGAGAGAGAGAGAAGAGAAAGAGAGAGAGAGGGAGAGAGAAAGAGAGAGAGAGAGAGAGAGATGAATAAATTGAAAACACAATAAATAACAGATAAAGGCTTATATGTGAACTTATTACTTTATTAGATAAAAAAAGTAAGATCAATATTAAAAAAATCAATCAGGCAAGAAGGCTATCTCGAGATCCCTTGAACAGAATATTTAATGAACCGGTGATACCCTCGCAAAAAAAAACCAATCATCAAGTGCATTCAGGGTTGGCAAAGTATTACCCAGGCGGGAAAACTCGGGTTTTCCCGGGCTGGGCAATACTCCCAGAAACGGGTAATACTGGGCAATACTGGGTAATATGATTTTTCAAGCTTATTTTTACACAAAATAGTAAAAACTTGTTGTAGTTTAATAGCATTACAGCTAAATATATGCATTTTATACAGATAACCATTGATGGCCATTACTGAAGATTGAAAATTCAATTTTTTACTTTTCTCCACTAATTCTATGTAGGCAGAATACAAGTTTTGCACACTTCAGGATACCTTGTTAATTTCCAAGCTTTAATGTTTCAATATTCCGATTTGAAACTTTGAAAAAATGAATTTTATGGCAGTGTTTAAGTGAATTGTAAATTTTCATTTTTATACAATCATATTGCTAAATGAGCACCCTAAGGGGACAGGCCATGGACACTTACAGAAATCAAAAAGCTGATTATTGTTACATCAACAAATCTGTGTTATGATATGAATAATTACTTATTAATTAGTGATGTACATAAACATATGCTCAAACTTAGTAACCATTTTTAGTAATGATAAAAAAATGTATAAAAGTTATTTTCCTTACATATAATTGTTAATTCTTAATATTAGTTATGTTTATTAAAAAAATAAAAACAAATTGAGTTCTTCGACTTTAAGTCAACACTTTGACCAATCTAGACTGAGTGGCGATTAGATAGATTTTTAGGAGGATTATTAAGAAAAGCTTTTTACATACGTCTTATGTGTCTTCGTGTACACCTGTCTTAGAGTTGCTGGACCATTAATCATGTTAATATTTTCTCAGATCTATACACTTTATATTAAGAGTCTCAAACAAGTGAACTTATAAATTAAAATACTATATCTTATTTTTATAAAAATCTTTAATGTATTGCATTTGTGATTAATCCTCTTTATAATTCAGGTCAGTATTTCATATTACCCAGTATTGCCCAGTATTGCCCAGTAAAACCCGGGTTTTCCTAGTAATTCCCACTGGGCTGGGCAATACTCATAAAACCCGGGTTTTTGCCAACCCTGAGTGCATTGGATTCCAGGTAATTACCAAGTACGTCAGATCAATGGTTTGGGTACAAAAACGGAAAAACTCTCTAAGGGCACCGGAATCATGATAATGTGGGTCATTGTTGATTTGTAACCAGGAGTAAAAAACATCCAGAAGAATTAACTATACTGTGAAAACAATTATGATTTACAGAAATTAATCTGCTTAAAAATCAAGGTTTTAATATTTTATTATCAACGATATGTTTTATTCAAACTATCTATTATACTTGTATTATAAATGAAATAGGTTTGTTTAATAGTTTCTCCAGTATTCATTCATACCATCCTTATTTCGAATGAGATGTTTTCGTTTTGATATCACGTAGTAACAGGGTTGCTAGTTAAGTATTTTTATTCGAATTAGACGACATTATAGCAGAGATAAGACCATATAGTAAAATAAAACCAGATATATTGCCATATGACATCCTGCCCTGCTCGGACTATCATGTTTCTATGTTCATTGAACCGTGAAATGAGATAGAAAAGTCGTAATTTGATATATTGAAATGTTCGTCGTCTTGCCATGCACAACTGCACTAAGTTTCAAGTGACCACATCTTCATTGTAAACTACATGAACAAACACATTTTACTTTATTTGGCTTTTAAAACAACATTTTTTGATTCGAGTGTCACTTATTTACTACTCATAAATCGAAAATAAATTGGCAACGGCAAAATAAGAAAAAGATCAAAAGACTAACAACAGTATGCAAAACACAACATATAAAACCAAAGACTTAGCAAAACGAGCACCAAATATGAAATTTATTTTATTTGTCAGCCATTATTGTTATAGCAGTGAATTTGATTAGGACAAAGTTAGCCCATTAGATTTTGATGTTTGTAGGAGTGAAGATTTTTAAGTCTTAAGACGGTAAAGAATGTTCTACCTACCACTTTCTTCGAATTCTGTCTGATTACATTTGTTGCTATAAGTCTTTTTCTCTAAAAATATATATTTACATTTATGAACAAGTTTAAATTGAAAACAACGTTCAAACCTATGACTGCGTTGGATAAAAACCGCAATTGTATACGTGTGCATGTAAAACAAATTTCTTGGTAGAGGGGTCTAAACTTTTTGGTCTTTTGGAAAATGTTGTTTGTGCTGTATTTAGACCACTCTACCAAGAAATTTGTTTTACATGCACACGTATAAAAATTGCGGTTACATTTATGTATATATTCATCGGAAGTTTGTTAACGTGAAACATTAAATAACTATTTGGAGGATTTTCTCAAACTTTTACGGTTTTATAGACCAAAAAAAGACGAATGCGTTTTACCCTAATTTCATTCTCCTTACTGAGTCATGCAGAAGTTTCGGTCATATCAGAATTTTTGCCCATAGCTTTTACCATAACAGTTCTACAAATCGGATATAGTTTTTAAGATAAAAGGTAAAACATGCCAATAAGTCATGAATAGTAATTTTAGATCAACAACTAATTAATGAGTAATCTGATATTTTCCATGATATAGGAAGTAGGTAGGCCTTGACAGTCTGTGAATTTGTTGATGTAAGCAACTATAGGTTATATTATGATCCCCAACAACGAGCAAAACTGTACTGTGAAATATAAAAGGCATTGACATGACAAAATGTGAAACAAATCAAACTATATCAACAAACGGCATAATTTCATTACATTTGGACATCTGTATCTATGAGTGAATCCACTTTCATTTTAGCAGACTTTAAAAATTGCAATTGAACGAAACAGTGTTACAAATTCATGGAATGCATATGCAAACTGCATGACTGTAGTACTTTGAGGAATTTACAGGTATATATTGTTTGATGCTAATTATTGTTACACAAATGAATGTGATAAGGACAAAGACAGCCCATTAGATTTTGTTGTGATTCTTTTATCTTAAGACCGTATAGAATGTTTTACCTACCACTTTCCTCTGTCTGTGCACATTTGTTGCTATAAGTCTTTTGCTCTAAAATATATTTAATTCTTAAATTTATGTATATATTCATCTGAAGTCTGTAAATGTAAATAAGAATTATTCGGTGGATTTTTCTCTGTCATATTCATCGAACTATTATGGTTTTCAAGTTACAATTAAATGAATGCGTTTTACCCTATTGTTCAATTCAAAGCAATGGCGGCCATATTTGTTGATTTCCAGGCGAAAAAAAACAACATACAAACTGAATACTAGATACTTTATGAAATTGTTCCAGTTATTTTAGAGGAGAAGAGCTTTGATAAAGTATACGACGGATACGACCATAAGTCAAACAAATGTTGTTTAAGACTATATATCAGTAAAGAGTCATTCAATAATCGATTGTCTGGCATTGTTGTACTTCATACATTTCTGATTTTTTTTGCTGTTTACAGTTTTTATTAATATATAAAAAGTGTTCGACATAATCAAAATAAGAAAAAACACTGCAATAAGTAAAAAATTATTATTTCAAGGCGACAAGTCCTTACTGAGTCATACAATAGTTATGGTGATATTGGTATTTTGTACATCTTGCATTGATAATAAATTTTGCTGTAACAGTCATTACCAATCCCATTTAGTTTTTGAGATAATAGGCAAAACATGCCAATTAACCAAGTATCGTCAATAACTCTTGGGGACAATCGGATAGTTTTGGTTATATAGGAAGTATGTATTGTTAACTTTGATAGTCTGAGCATTTGTGGATGTAAGCAACTCTAGGGCACCGTATGCCCCTCACAAACAGCAATACCATACTGTAAACAATAAAAGACATCGGCATGAAAACATGTGAAACAAATGAAAGGTGATATAGACCATTGGCCCAATTTTATTACATTTCACATCTGTATCTTTTATTAGAGAAGCCACTCTCATTTTCAAGCACCAATCTAAAATAACCATTGAACCAATTTGTGTTCTATATGAAATTCATAGATCGTTTATGGAAACCATTACTGTTATATTTACGGAATTTACAGGTACGTGTTATTTGTAACCCATTATTGTGACAGCAACACATATGATTAGGACAAATACAGTCCATTAGATTTCGATGTTGTTGTGATTGAAGATTCTTTTATCTTTAGATAACCAACCGTATAGAATGTTCTACCTACCATTTTCTTCTGTCTGTTCACATGCGTTGCTATTAGTCTTTTGCTCTATATTACATGTATGTTTATATTCATCTGAAGTTTGTTAATGTAAAACATGAAAGAATTAGCGAATACAAATATCGATATATAGTGATATCAAAACGTTAAAATCAAATCTTTAATTATATGTTTCACTATCAATTTTACTTAACTATATCGCATTACGACAGAAGTGTCTCTTACTGATATATAAGACTAAATATCTGTAATTTTAAAAACATAATACAAAAGATGTAATGCAGATAAAACCAAAAAGTACAAAAAAGATATTCGAAACCAGGAAAAAAGGATTGCAGGATTGGAACCCTGTATGGCAGTGAAATCTAAAATAACCTGTTTTTAGTCATATAGCTCTTCACTTTGGATTATACTTGCATGATTTACACAATTTTGGGTTTAAGTGTTCCTGATAAAAAGAGCGTCAGATGCAGTAAATTTATAAAATTTTAGTATCATTTTCTAACATACTTCATGAAGACTCATCACATATTTGAATTGAAACCTGCAGTTTTTGAGGACAATCGGGAGAAAGAACAATTTTAACTAATTATGTTAGTATATAAAATCATCATGGATACCAGGATTGAATCTTTTGAGCATTTCGTCTACAACAGACTCAGCAGTGACGCTCGAATCAAAATAAGGTTAAAAAGGCCGAATGAATTACGAAGTTGAAAAGCATTGAGGACCAAAAATTCTTGAAAGTTTTGCCAAATACAGTTAAAAAATTTATTCCCGAGGTAGAAAAGCCCGAGTTTTTCGAAAATTTAAAGTTTTGTAAACAGTTAATTCATTATTATGACATATCAATGACATTCCATGTCAACACAGAAGTGCAGACTGCTCGGCTGAGGATAACCTCCGGGAGAAAAACTCCACCAGCAGTGGCATTGATCCAGTTGTTGTATATAAACTCATCATAGATATTAGGATATTAGGCTTTCAGCTCTTGCTGTTGAATATATCCTGAGTTAAAAGACATCGTTTTGCATTTTGTTCGTGTTGTATTTACGGCATAACATAATATGTTATTTACTATCATACATTTGGTTATTTTTTTCTACAGAAGTAATGAAATGAATCGATCATTATCCTTAGCATATTCGAAGGGATAATTTCAATGTACCATAAGAACCCTTGTTTGAAGATCTTTTTTTCAGCAAATTTTTCTTTCAGGGTAATTATGATATAAAACACTAGCAAATGTAAAATGCTGCTTCACATGACGGAAAGATCATAATGGGAAAAATTCAATTTCTTTGGTATAAATATAAATTTTATAAACATAGACATCAAACTTTGAATATATCAGGGAGGGGTATCAACATAACAAAAATGATAATGATCGACTATTTTCATTCTTTTGGAGAAACTTCCCAATTAATACGATATTCCCGGGCTTGTATTTCCTATAATTAGTTACTTGATAGAGGGTTGCTGCTCACAAGGAAGCTATTAAATCAAGAGTTCTAAATGGTGAAATTTAAATCATCTTATCGTAAATTTTACGGACGCCATAACGAGTTGGTTGATCCTAATTAGATTATTTACCGGGTTTGTAATAACATGAGCAACACGACGGGTGCCACATGTGGAGCAGGATCTGCTTACCCTTCCGGAGCACCTGATATCACCCCCAGATTTTGGTGGGGTTCGTGTTGCTTAGTCTTTATTGTTCTATGTTGTGTCTTGTGTACTATTGTTTGTTTGTCTTTTTCGTTTGTAGCCATGGCGTTGTCAGTTTATTTTTGATTTATGAGTTGGAATGTCCCTCTGGTATCTTTCGCCCCTCTTTTTTGATCGTTATGGAATATCCGTTTCACAGATGATAAGACTTGTTACCGGATTTGTACTAACATGAGCAACACGACGGGTGCCACATGTGGAGCAGGATCTACTTACCCTTCCGGGGCACCTGAGATCACCCCGCCCCCCCCCCCCCCCCGCCAGTTTTGGTGGGGTGTTGCTTAGTCTTTGGTTTTCTATTTGTGTTTTGTGTTCTATTATTTGTCTGTTTGTCTTTGTTTAGCCATGGCCTTGTCAGTTTATTTTCGATTGATGAGTTTGAATGTCCCTCTGGTATCTTTTGCCCCTCTTCTTAATGAAGTGTGTCTAAAACACATAAATGAACAAAACCTTAATTTGTACGTTCGTCGTGGGTATAAGATATTTGAGTATCTACTTAACTGAAAGCTGTTTGTTTACCGTCGTTCAACAGTTTTTAACAACTCTTGCCTCTTATGTAATTTTAAAGTTTGATTTCAACGAGACAAAACATTATCAACTCTATATTAAGTATCGACATCAACAAACGCTGCACAATGGAAAAATGTCTAGATATTTTAATTCTCATTTTCACAGATATTGGCTGAGAGTAGTCTCATTGCAACCCGTACCAAATACTGCTGCACTTATATATTTAGAATATGTTATGTTATTTGTTATAGAAAAAAATTATCGAAGATACAAGACATACAATTTGTGCTACAAGCATGTAAACAAAGAAGCGTTAAACAAACAAAACAGTGCGTATAAGCGACACTGATTTCTTGTTACAAAATATAAAAGTCAGATACAGTTGTGCGGAAAGTATTTAATGGAGTATAAAGATGCATCTTTATTTATAACCATTATGTGTATCGCTCAGCGATACGTACTGCCATAATCGTCATTGTATATAGTCTCTTGAAGTGGCATAATTGTTAAATGTGGCTCGCTAAGGAGGTGAATATCCAAAATTATCAACCCGAGTAAGGGTAATTTCACAAAGCTTTTAGCGCAAGCGCAATAACCCTTACTCGGGTTGACAATGTTTGATATTCGACGACTCAATGGGCCACAATTGTATTTAAATTTTGTGAAAAGTTGTCTCATTTGCAATCATACGGTATTTTCTTTTTTATACATAACTGTTTTATTATATCCCGCAATGGTGGTAAGTCGTGCACTTAAGGCCATTTTTTATTTTATTTTTCTGTAGACTTAGCTTTGATTTTTTATTACTGTGTATTGTCAAGCTTGGTTACTCATTATTGTTTCTCAGTCACTGAATGTACGATGTTGTTCTATACTGCAGCAGGTGACCCGGTTTGTTTACATTCAAATTCTAATGGCTTCAAAACCACGTGACACATTGAATCGTTATATCCAATCAAATTGCTCTACTGTCAATTAGGTGATTTTTTAGTACAAGGCAATTATATTATTTGTTTGTATGATATTGCTTTGAAATAGTTTGCAATAAATTGGGGGTTTATTCAATAGGAAACCTCATTATTAGCCATGAAATTTGATATCAATGGAATTTTATATGAATATTTACTTATGGTCAGAATATCGATCTCTTTATATTGAACCAATTTTTTTTTAATGAAAAATATATGTATATTGTTTTTTATTAACCTACTCTATATTCCTGAACAAAAATATGGCATGATTATCGCTTGTTTCCCAAAGTTTTTCTTTCATTTTGGAAGGGTTTTTTTTCGCGGGAAAATCGATTAAGACGTAAGGTGTTTGCCATTTTGAAATTTTCAAAAATACGATTTGCTTGGCCTGTTTGGTCTGCCTTTAAGATTGATGACGCTTAATGGAATGTAAACAAAGCAATGGAGGCTGGAAGAGGGGATTTTTGAAGTTCTGGAATGTTTTTAGGCATTCGGAAGTTAGGTTTGAAACGGCCATTAAAAAATTGGCATTTTTGTACAATATTCTTTAGAATAACAATGAAAACATCTTTAGAAATATTTGTTTATTTAGAAGAGTAGAAAAAATGTATTCTGCACTAATTTTATACGCTGGTATTAGCGTAGTGACGTCAATGCGGAGTTTTCCCGTGTGATAAGTACAATAACAAAATCCGAACGAACCAACATTATGACCGATTATAGACTACGGTAGGATACCGAACAAATAATTAAATGTAAAATATTGCCTTACAGGAGAAAAGAAAAATTTGTCAAAACACTTACATTAGAAAATTAGTTTGCGTCTTAGAATTTCTTGTATGTACAACAAGGGTAGACGATGTTCTGTAAGATATTGATGGCTCTGAAAAGGACCCTTTACGAGAGATATCCACGGAACTTGTTTGATCTTTTTTCCTCTTTACATGAAGGGCTTCTTACCTGGCTGTTGCCATTTTAATTAGAGGCGTCAATGACGTCATTTTTTTTTGGAGATTACTCGTGCAAAAAAACAAGGGCTGAAAAGATTATTCACTGGGAATAATAGTATTGTTCGATGGATGATTCAATATGTCGGGGTTATTCATCGCTCCTGCCAAATTTTGTAAACAATACAGCGAAATCAAACTATGACACGTGATTTCGTATTATCCAATCACATAATTACTATATTATGTAAAGGCTAATAACATTACTCATTAGCTTACCTGTCATTGTCGATGCGTCAATACAATCTCTCTGAACTATAGAAAACAAATATATTTCTTGTGATTAGTGTAATATTGACACCGTGTTTTTGGTCGAAAATTTTTAACCTACCAACCGCATTCATTCGAGATGGTGTTTTTCAATTAGCGGAATAAAAAATCTTTCCATAAAACAACTACTGTCCTACCTTTTTTTTGTGACTGCACTGTATAATCCTAACCTTCACATTATCAAAGATTATTTTCCATTGTAAATCCGCCATCATGGTTTCTATGATAATCCTTTATTTACATAACATTCCTTACTCTCCGGTAATAACCTTGTCATTGATGTGATACAGTTTCCCGCGCTTTTTGCAAGTTAACAATACAATTGATGAAAAGATCCGAGTTGCTTCAGAAAATAAACTGAACGTGAAACTTCACGGCAACACTTCCGGTAAAATCAATGTCGGATTCCACCGTTTGAAATAATCTTGGATAATGCGAAGGTCAGGACTATACAGTGCAAACACAATAAAAGGTTGGACAGTAGTGTTTTTTTGGAACGATACTTGATTCCCCTCATTGAAAAAATAGTAATTTTACTACGTCTACTGAGAACAACGATGGTGTCATGTCAATTAATATTTCAGTGTGTGATGCGTCTCATATATTGAGATTAGGGATGATATTGAAAATGGAAGATTAGCTTCATATTTTGTTTCGTGACATTGACACAGATGGGCAACTCCAAACTAGAATATATTACCAATTTGAGGATTTCAGCTCAACATTACTTTCGAAGCATCCAATGACAAAGCAGTAACATACACTTTGTCCCATAGTGTACATTTATTTATTAATACGTTACGCTGGTGCATTTTCACACTGTACAAACTCGATTAACAGGGGTGCGCCCCTAACACAAAAACCGCTTCAAAAGAGTTATGTGGATAAAGAGACTGAAATAAATACTGCATACGTTATATGGCCAACATTTGTAATTAGTTGCCCGATACAATGTGACAACTCACTAGCGACATGCTTTTGCGGTCATTAATCATAATTACTAATGAATTATATACGTATATTTACGGATTCTATCCTATTCCCAATTCCGACATTTTGACTGAGAATGGTTTGGCGGTTGATGTATGCATAGCAGAAGATGTTACATAGTCGAAGCCCCTGTTCTGTTCCTTCATTTATACCTTCATTTTGTATCTTCCTAAATGAATTTACGAGATTTGAACACCGATAGTCTGTTGTTTGTTTTCTATTTAACCTTTATTTTTATTGAAAGAATGCAACAAGGCAATGCGTGACAGGAAAAAGTAAATTTCCCCAATTTTTTTCAGTTTAATGTTTTTATCTATTTGGTTTTTTTTTGTATCGTCTTTTGAAATAACAAAAACAGTTGTTCTTTCGGATTCAAATATATAAATAAATATGTCATTAGATTAATTGCATATTCTTATAATGACCATAACAACATGTAACATGATTTGACATGAACACATTTTAGCCAGTAAACAAAATATTATAATGTTTTCTCGTACTTTCTTACCTTCAATCCTTGAATGCGATTCTGATTGGCATATCAAGGGAAACGTTTCTTCTATGGAACGCTCATTGTCTAATGCTACTTTTGTTATGATTTTACCTATATATAGTAGATAGAATCCATTTTAATATTAAATGAAAGTTTGTTTTTATATCAAAACGTATATAGCATTAAGTAATACTTAGTCATGTCATTCAGTGGTGTAGCTTGCCTTCTGTTATTTTTTTATTTAAATATCTCCAAATGTCTGTTAAGTTATTTACTTTTATTAAAGATTTAAAACTATTTACTGATTGGATATTTTTTACCTCTGAGCGAGTACTTTTTCTGTCTATCGCTTTCATCGTATCATTGAAATATCCCAACATTATTGTAATTCATATCCCTTATTCTTTTAATATATTATTTACCTTAAAAATATATTTCTATTACTTTTTACAATTACGTGCATTTATACACATTAGTGTATAAACGCTTTCAACAATTTCTACATGAGAAGAACTAATCGTCCATCTACATCATTATGTGTATTTATCAACTTTTAATGCAGTGACTTTTGAATGAGAATAGCCACACCCATACTAAAGGTCGTTCCGTGACTGCAAAATATATCAAATTCTGATTTTTTTTTTATTTCTGTTTCTATGTTTTCATCAAAATGAGTTTCTTGTAAAAACAATGACTTCAGTTAATACCGCGGCAGCCCCAATACGCTATCGAGGTTTTTACAATTTGAAAAAGAAGAATATATTAAAAGTGAAAGTTGTTGCTTAATCTTATTTCATCATAATAATATTAATATGCCTTAAACTAAGTTATGCTACCGAATTATTAGTTGATTCCTTGTATTTGCACAATTTACAATGTTCAGATGAATACATAAATCTTCTCAAAAGCATTATCCACTTTTCAAATCGAATCCTTTCAGGGAAATCCCAGATTTAAACTTTCTAACGAATACAGGAGATTCAAAATGTTCCTTAGTCTTTAGAAAGTTGTGTATGATTTAAGCCGATACTATCTAATCTACGGGCAACTAAGTCATAAGAACAATAAAACACTTGAAAATATCACATAAATCAACCACTCTGAGAAGTCAGTTTCCTGACTTGCTAGCAGTAACTAAAAGCTAGCTCAAAAGCCTAATCTGGCGACATAATTCCAAGTCGTCGTACTCTAATATAGGAGGCTGTACCTCACTGTGACATAAGATGTCATATCAGAAGGAAAATACGACCTTGTTCGATGGCCAGATAAAAACCTGTACAGATTTTCCAATACAGAAAAACAAACGCACGATTAGGGTTTATTTGAAATCATTTAAGTGATGATCATTTATAATCATCACTAAACGACGAACGGCTTGTATTGGTTGTTTCTCATACTGGCATATTGTGGAAGAAATTCAAATTCGTAAACGGTTTTGAAAATTTTCTCATTCACGAATGAAAACGACAACCGGCGAAGTAATAACATTTATGTTATCCTGAAGTAGTCATGATAAACGAAAACAGTATTTGGTTGAAAACTATTATATATAAACAGACATTATATTTGAACTACTAGTAACAGACATATAAATAATATTTCTCTGGGATTAGTGTCTCCTTTAAATATTTTCTGCTAGTGAAAACTATACATTTCAAATAGCGAGAAAAAAACATTGAGAATCGTAACATATAAATTATTTTTTTGTGCATGTTGATTGATGTATATATTTTTTTGATTTGTATTAAAGTCATAAACTCTCTGTGTATTTGAAGTTCTACACTTAGGGGAAAATTTCAACACACAACGATGTTTCAACTTTAAATTGGTTTAAAACCATTTACGTCAATATGACAATAAGTTGAAACATGAATATTGATATATTTGAACTCTATTATTCTAAAATAAAAGGTCAATACACAGTTTTGTTTACTCGCTAATGCGTATTAATCACAGCCATCCACATGTTTAAATTGGGATATATATATAAAATGTCAACATTTTAAAAAAAGACCTTTAATTTATTTGTTTCCGTTGCATATTTTTGTACATTACGAATTGGTGACAGGTAATTTGCATTCGCCTGCAATACTTCCTTACACAACGTGTCACCGGGTCGGTGTATTCGAACTGTTCGATGGTTCTTAAATTTGTTACTGAGTCTGAGTGATGATTATTTCATTTTTTCGTCTTCGTTTTTGTAGACTTTTCTTCTATTAATACACGGATGCATAATTTTTTAATCCAGTCAGTTTCAATATTTTTAGGATCATTGTATTTATCAATATGAAATCATATAATATTTATATAAATAAACATTATTGTGACTTTTTCTTTTCATTTTATCAATAAAATATTTGAACCTGAAAAAAAAAATTTAGATGTTACGGTTATAAATGCGGGTTTGAATGTGGCTTACAAATTTATATTTTAATTCTTTTCGGCCATAATTTGATTTTCCTTATATTTATATTCAAAAACCATTTTAAATCTTTATTCTTTTAAGTTCAAATTAGTAAGAGGGCATTTTGTCTGTTTTCTATAAACCTCATCCAATCATATATAAGTGGTACTAGTATCATGGACGCTACGTATCTTAGATGTATATGCAATGAGGAAAATAAGAATATGGAGTATAGCCTGGTTCACGTTATATCACCTTAGTGTATATCTTATGCTTCTTTTACAAGGGACATTCTGATCTTCCAACTTTGTGACAACAATATCAACATAAAATTTGGGAACATAAAATGCTACTCAATTTCGACATCAGCTGCAGATAGTGTTTCTATGTTTGAACATGCATTGGGACCAATATAGCCCTAAATTGTTCCCGATCAGCATATATATACAAATACCTTACAATAAAAAAGTTCCGATGATCTCATTGCCAGCTGAAGCCAGAGTGTTTGTTACATATTTGATAAAAACGTTTTTCTAAAAGTGAATGAACGGAAGAGAGATATTTGTGAATTTGACACAACTATATACACTCAGTTACTTGTAATATCTTTATCAATTTCAGAAGAAATCGAAGCTAGGAAATAGTAAAATACATATGGTATCGCAGAATGAAATGCAGTAATGATAAAGAAATTGCTTATCAGAATCTAGTTGCCACTTTTTTGAAAAGGATAACATTACATTTTCGAACTCCTACCTTTCGGGATGTTTTTGCTAAGTTCAGTTCTACAACTTTCTTTATACGGTGTCGTTTCTGTAAAAGACAAATTAGTACATCATTGACATTGCAAATATTAAAAGTAATAAAAACAAAGCTAGAAATAAGTGATTCCATTGCCATCTAGTAAAGCTATGGAAACCTATATAATTTATAAAACAAAAAGTCACATAGAAAATAAACAAAACAGAGGTACACAATGGCTTTATTCTGTGAAAATTCCCGTTCAAGGGATTAAGAGGCAAAACGGAAAACAATATGACAAATAGTGTCCATATATGACAAAATTCATGTCATTCCAAAGTTAACTTCACATAGTTTGTACTTGTTTTGGCTTTCGAACTTTTTTTATTTGAGCGTTACTTGTTAGTCTTGTGTGGACGAAACGCGCGTCTTGCGTATTAAATTTTAAACCTGGTACCTTTTGTTAGCTATTATTCGTATGTTTCTCTGTCCTATATGTTCTCCAATTTATTTGTATTGTAGTCCTGTCATGTAATATTGTCATTTTAATGTTATATTTAACATTGCCGTAAAAGCTGGAGGTTTGGCTAGCAACAAAACCAGGTTCAACCCACCATTTTTTTTCTTAAAATGTCCCGTACCAAGTCAGGAAAATGGCCATTGTTATATTATAGTTCGTTTCTGTGTGTGTTACATTTTAATGTTGTGTTTCTGTTGTGTCGTAGTTCTTCTCTTATATTTGATGTGTTTCCCTCAGTTTTAGTTTGTAACCCGGATTTGTTTTTTCTCAATCGATTTATGAATTTCGAACAGCGGTATACTACTGTTGCCTTTATTTGACACAAAAATTCAGGAGGAAGAAATAAACTTGTAGATACACAACTACATCATGTGAGCAAGTTGCCACAAACTCTGTATATGATACTTCGTTGATTGATTACTTTTAACAGTTTTAACTGAAAAACATGTATAGTGTCAATCTATTCAAATCGTGAGATATGTTAATATAAATGTTATACGTTGTGAAAGTCATCATTGATTTCGTTGATTTGGGGCTTATTTGTAGCTTCATCTGATGTTTTGTGTATTCTTTTTCTGTATCCAAATAATGAGATGTGGTATGATTAAAAATGAGACAAATATCTACCAAGGACCAAATGAAGTGGATGTGAGCATTATAGACAATCATACAACCTTCAACGACGAGAAAAACACATACCGTATAGTCAGTTGTAAAAGGCCCCGACATGAAAAATATGAAACATTTCTATTGCGAAAACTAACGGCCTAATTTATAAACAAACGAAACTAATATAACAGACGTAAATGCCAACCATTGAACTACAGGCTCCTGACTTGGGACAGGCACATACAAGTTTTCCATAACAGAAATAGAACATAACTCAAAACCAAAGATTGTGCAACCCGAAACCAGCAACAATCGGGGATGAAACATGCGTACTTGAAGTGTAAACAGTTATCGTAATGCATATGTAAATAAAATCCAATGACAAGTTGTAATTGAGAAAGAAGAGAACATGATTGAAGTTATGGCAATCAAACATATTCGTGGCCAATGACTGATAACCAAATTCTGCTGACGTACCTAAAACTTTCGATAGGAATACTTAACTCATAATTTCTTAGAACCGTACATGCAATATCTTCCTTGTAAACACCAACCATCTATCAATTGATTCATGATAGGAAACGTAAGTTCTTGAGAGTGAGAAAATTTAAACCATATGTTTTGTCGTCAAGTTCAATTCTGATCATCATTGTCGATTTCTAGATGTAAGTATAGACATGACGCAGAAGCAACTATATATGTTGTATCCTTGATTTCGGGTTCACTGGCATCGGAGCAGTCACTAAAGTCACCTCAACAAAGGCAGAATATAGAAATGGGATACTCAAAGTTCATAAATCGAGGAAAAACTAACAACGCAATAGAAAAAACAACAACACAAGACCGACGAAATGATATCTCTGAAAAAACTAAGAAGAAGTAAGGATGAATATCACGATACAAATTTCAGAATCTGTAAAAGTATTAGAAAAAACAAATTTGGATTATTTATTGCAAGATCATCCTCTTAAACAGTGCCAGCATAAAATTGTCCTCAAGGTATAAAAGAAGTCAACACCAGAGGAACATATTTGACTCTCATAGGAATGCCGATTATGTTTTAAAAAACACGTCCTCTATAAGTAGCAAAAAACGTTTTTAATAAAACAATGCAGCATTTTGATAAAATCAGATTAAGTGATGTGTTAGTTCGATTCAGAGAGGATGTTTCCAAAGTATGATTTGTTTCTCTTCTAAAACCAGGCAAGGCGTACGTTACTGACTTGATTTATAACAAACCTTTCTAAAATTGTCCGTTTATAAATTTTGAAATTATTTAGAAACTAAGGTTTCAACTCCCTCAGGCAAAGTTGACCTTAGATAAATTTGGCTATTTGTTTTATGTATTTTTGTCATATAGCTCTTTAACTGTTTCGGTACTTATACATCCCTCGGATTTCAAATGTTTGGCTTTGAGCGTTCCTGATGAAGGTAAATCCAGAAAAGCGCTTCGGACGCATGAAATTATTAAACGTGTTATTTTCAATTTTTTGAATGATATAGATAGTTGTTTTTTTTTTATTAATTCGTTTTTGTTAATACTCATTTTAAGTTGCTATTTGAATAATCTATAGTAAGGCTTAAAAAATAATTGATGATTTCGAAAGTAATTACTTCACAAAAACCCAATGAACAGTTACACACAAGGAATAATAAACAGATAAAGAACGTTGTATATATTAAATTTTAAACCCAGTTATGATAGTGTAAGGAATAGTTGGCAAGTCAAGAGCCTGCAGACCAGTGGTTTTTATTTGGTCATCATATCTATCATATTTGCTAATTGTTTTGTTATAAATTAATTCATTCGTTTTCTCCATTATAGCCACCATACCGTATGAGTTTTAATCATACCACATCTCTTTATTTGTATAATGACACTGCAAACGTGTATCAAAAAGAAACATATTGGGAATGTGTGATAATCATTAAAAATTATATCGTCAAAGAGGAATACGTATTTTGTAAAAAAAACAAAACAAAATCAGATCTATTGTCATAGTAAGCTAAGTATTTGGCAACACAAAGCAACACACAGCCAAGTAAATTCAGGCCTGAAACCAAAGTGTCCCGGAAAAGGTTAACGACCCTATTCTACCTTGCACATTCGTCTAGATGCTGATGAAAACAAAGAAAGTCGTTAAACGCTGCATTTAGGAATAAAACATAGACACCGACATTCAGTTTCAACTCATCATATCGGTGTCTACTGTAGTTTCATAAGCAACACCAGTTTGTCACAAGAATATAACTTAAGTAAACATAAGCCTGGGAACATCGTTTTACTCAGATGCATAGACGCCTTAAATAGGTTCTTAAAGAAAACTGAAGATATGGAAAGATTGCAAATGTGATCACAACAATCCACCAGAAACAAACTGAAACATATGTAAACAACTTATAATATGTATAGATATTCAAGCTACGCAATATTCGTTACTGTTCATGGTATACTAGTTTCCATTTGTTTCGTGGAGAAGGAACAATGAATTTCAGAGTAAAACACAATACAATATACCAATTTTTTGTTCAAAAATGAAATTAAATGAAGACACTTTTCCTCAATCTTCATATTTATTCAACAATGTTTAAATGTAGAATTATAAATGATAATAAAATACTGCAAAGAAAATATGTCATACAAAGAAGTAACCAACCCCGGCCACATTTTCATATGACTGTCCCAAGTCAAGATTCTTCTCAGTAGGTGCAATATATCATATCCTAATGTTGATCGTTATTATTTTGCAGAACTTGTTCTAAATGGTACATATATTTTTTCTGTTATTCAAAAATGTATTCATTTGTAATATAAACTGGGGACACTTAAAAGTATATGCTATGGACACGGTTGCTTTCTCGTGGACGTATTCTCAACAAATTATGGCTTTTGCATCTATCTTAAAAGCCTTTGAAAATTCATAGCATTGATTTTGGTCACATCGTACGTTTTATGCATATTAAGATAAATACCTTTTAACGATGTACTCTGTGTAAAAGTTTCTCCGCAACCTTTTTTAAACAGGGCCATCTCTACAAAACAAATGGCATATCTTATAGTTACGTTACTGGAAAAAAAACCAGTATATATATTCATTTTGTAATCGACCAAAATCAAAAACAGATTGATGACTTTGACCTTACCGTTAAAATTCTTTTTTTGGTAGCTTCGAAGTATCAATTCTATTTTAAAGAAATATTGATTTTAAACGCAAGTACCAGATTATCTTATCTACTTGTATCCAGATTCGGCAAGAATGATGCTTCGTACTATGGTAGGCTAACACATGTGTTTATATGGACATAATACGACATTAACAATACTTCAATAACCAGATCACGATTTCAGTAAATCGTGTTTAATGACATTGCAATGAGAAAACTATCGGCAGTTTGTGGACTGTTGTTTCAAGGTGGTACCAACCATTCCCGAACAAAAGATTTTTTATTGATATGATTCAAATGTTTTGTATATTGGGATTATCCAAATGTTGCATGAGTCCTGTAAACTAATAATTAATGCACAATTATGTAGGTATATTAAAAACACATCATCCTAGTTATATCATAAAGTTAAACAGTTAAACAGATGCTAGGATGATCTAAATTGTTTTTGAAAAATTCTTCAACGTGGTTATGATATACAAATCTTTATTGTATAAATATTTACTGGAAACGCTGTTACTTTTTATCATTCTATTGAGTAAAATTCATTTATCTGCATTACAGTTTAATTGTGTAAGTTCTAACACAGAACTGAAAGCCTAACAACTTCGTTGAAATAACACAAGTCGATCGTTTCGGCAAATACTAAATATATTTCGGAAAAAGCTAATCTGTGACAACCTTTCAAAAGAAATAACATATATTACACTCAGTGACCACGATACTTAACTGATTTTAGACATTTCAGATCTTCCAAAACAAATAAGACATGCTACAACAATAGCTAATGATATGCCAATCGCAATAGAAATTCCAATCCATCTACCAATACTATCTGTAAAATAGAATAATCTTTATATTCAATAATAAATCAATAATATTTTTCAAAAAGTCCCCCGCTCAATGCAGGGGTACACATATATATAACAACTCTTTCTATATACATGTACGATTGTTTTCTACAGAAATTTGTTCTCAATTGACAATTATTGTTATATTAAAAGTGAAAACGTTTGATTTAACCACACTATAAATTAAATTATTAAACGATTTTTAAACCAAAGGAAAGAAAAACGCCAGTCATTATCTTCAGGTAAAATTAAACCTGAAAAATAAACACACACACTTAAACAGAAAGGAATTTTATTAATAATATATACTAGTATGGACATTTGATATTAAACGAATGTATACTAAAATCACAATTGATTTGTAAGAATATGTTGAAAGCTTGAAGTATATTCAAAATGGTGAAAATCTACATGAAATGAGATGAACATACAAAAAAATATATATAACGATAATTCTAAAAGTCAGATGTGAATTTGAGATTTAGACTAATACATATGTACATATCTGACAATAACAATAATGGAGTTATCAATAAAGTTTCATGTACCATCTATTGTCATTACTCCGCTTAAAATTTATAATTTTGCTATTTCATCATGAAAGCAAAATTTTAGAGATAAAATCTAGATGACACTAATAAAATTAAGCCATTATAAATAAACCTGAGATATGGTCCTCTTCATGTTGTATGGTCACATTGAAGTTTGTATGTGAATCATGCCCTTCTTTAGTGTGAGTTCCTAGAAAAGTAAAAATAAAATTATCAAAATTGAATAGTGCAAGTTATACAAGACGTTTTTGTTCCAAAATATCGTCGGTAGATAATATACAAAATACTTTTACGTGTACCATTCAATTGTTGATGTTTATGTGAAATTCATCGAAATCATACAATGTTATAATGTTATTTTATTAACAGTTCCAATTTTACTATACCAATGGCGTTCAGTGATGCTCGAAGTCAATATATCTGGTAAACATTGAAGTAAAGTTGATTATGTCGTGAAATAAAGAAAAAAACTATCTCTGGAGGATATGTGTTGAATAAATACATCAGATTTATGTAATGCTCTTTGCTAATTAAAATAAGTTAGTCATAGTACAAATATTACAGTATTCTAAATCCAAACATAAACGTAATCAAATTATGTAAATCACGCTTATGTCAAGTACTTAATGGTTTTTCTCTTGGACTTATCAATTATAGCATTGATTACTGGTATGTCGGATCCGTATTATTTTATGTATGAGCATATACAGCTTTATGTTCTGTTCGTTTTTTTGTATTTGTTGATTTTACATGAAAGTTTGACTTCATTATCTTTTTTTAAAATAAAGATCTTTTATATTTTTCATTATAACTTTTGAGATGAACAAAATTAGATGTTTTAGTTTGTTGTCTTTTCTTTTATCTTATCACATGGAAATTTTGTTTTCTTTGCTATACATTGCACTCCGCATATTTTATTTTATATTCCGAAATTGAAGATTTGTATAGGTATATTTTCGTATTACACACAAGTACCCATCGCTCGTGTGAAAGGACTTATATTAGTTTTTGTTTCTGCTTCTCTATTCTAGGCGTTCGATTAACCGTTATTTTGCCAAACGTCAAACGAGTAACAATACAAGAAATAAGACCAATACCAGGTCTGGATCAGGGTTTCTGCATTTAATTGATTGAGATTGCCTATGTAATGAAGCATAATTTATAATTCAAAGCAAGAAAACTTTGACGATACTTTTCTTCTACAAGAGTGTCGTAAAATTACAAACTATCGGCAAACCGGAAATGGCTGCACAGTGGATCTTAACAAGGCTAACTAAAGTTTTGTATTATGTTGCAAACCAAATATTAAACCATTCCCCTTCATGGAGCCAGAAAAAAACTTTGACAAAGATGTTCCTTGTACAGTGAGTGTTGTAAAATTGCAAAGATCAGAAAACAGGAAGTTGTTGCATGGCTCATGTAAAAATTGCTTACTCGCTTCAACACCACAGTATCAAGCCGAAGACCAAATAATAATTCATTCCCTTTTAAAGAAGCCATGAGAACTTGGACGAAAGTTTCATACTCAAGGTATCGGTATTTTGAATAGGCTGACTGACGGACAGACAGATATATGGATGGACGCTTTTGGCAGCGCAGGTAAAAGTGTAATCTTTTAACTCTGAAAATCAAGATTATTTTACTGTTATAATATAGAAAAGACAAAATAATTTGATTCGAAATTCTAATAAGCTGTGAACAATGGTGAAAAAAGGTCAAAGCCCCTTCGATCCTTATCATATTTCAAAAGTTGGATAGAACAACATTTGACAAACAGATCGAAAATACATATTTTCAGAATATATTCAATAGGGATGTATTTGTAAAGCATACAACGTGTAAATATAAATATATGAGGTACCTGCTGTGTATGGTGAACGATACGTTGTTTCCAATATAATTTCGATAAAAAAGTAAAAAATTAAAAATACTATTTTCCTACCTGTCACGTTATCTATTTGAATTTCTTCCACGGCACTGTTATTTCTAGCCAACTTCTTGATTGTTGTTTTTGTTTTGTTTGTGTAAAAATCTGAAAGCAAACTAAACGATTTAACAGCTTAAAGAAAACCTGACTATTCACGATACAACTGATATTACATTTAAACTATTCCAGCGCATTTGTTATTGATCTTTTGAAACTACATTCTGAGTGTGAATATCAAACAAGCCTATTTTTATGATTAACATGCATTTATTTCAGAATTCTTCAATACACAAAACGTTCTAATTTAAAGATCGTTCCATATACAAATCATTGTGTTTAAACACAAAAGTTTCAACTGTCTTATTGGTTGATATATAAGTCTCGTTTTACTCGTAAAACGTAAACTCTTCTTCCATGAACAACATATCACCTTTGAAGCAGAACTGGCATAGAAAAGAAAGCGTCAAAAACTAGAAGTAATGAAAAAGAAAGGATATGGTGTATCCATAAATGACACAAATTATTACAAGCACAAACAAGCAAATTAACAGCGCTTTTTTTTGCTGTTCTTCGTTTTAAAGTCACAATAATGACTCAACGAGAAACAAAAACTCTCATTTCACTGCAAGTTCAAAACGACCTCTAGCATCAATTTAAGCGAAATTCTTTGAAAACCGACGATCACGCCAACACTGTGAATTGAAGAACAAAGCCATGGAGTAAAATCACTAAAATAAATATGACACAGAAAGCTAGAAAAAAATAAAGTATTCTGTGCGACATCAAAATGTAAAATAAAAAAATACGTTTACGTCTACGAACAAACCTGATTTTGAAATGCAAATAGTGTTCTTTCGTGTTTATTTTAATTCTACAAATTAGAACATATAATGACTTTTAATGTTTTTCGGACTGGTTTTCTTGTTCGTTAGAAGTAAGTAAAGAAAGTTTACAGAATACAAAATAAATAGATACTAAGGTGCAGTATGTCTTAAATTTTGAAAATGTTTCGATGTATTAAGGAAAAATTGAAAGCAGATAGCATACCTTTTCCATTGAAAAAGATTGTTGCCATTTTTGAAAATTTTGATGATAGTTTGCGATCAGAATAGTTCATTTCACAAGAAAAATGTATTCCGCTCCTATTGTTTATATTATGCCAAATCATACTAAATTCGTTCCCGGATGCAGAGCAACTACACAGGCCTGGTTGACACAAGACACCACTATGCATGCACTGATTATGTGCTTGACTGTAGAAAACTTCATCTATAGTTCGGAAATCAGCCATAAATTCTACGTGGTTTTCAAGCGGTTCGCGGCAAGAAAAACATGTAAGCTTTATATCCGACTTATCTACATTTGCAGATAAAATGATATCTGTAGCAGAAATTATACCTGAAAATATATAATAATTTGTTCTTGTTATGTGTGCAGTATTTAACCAATAAAGATGCTGAAAAATACTAATTTAATGTATGACTTTTTTAAAACAATCACAGAATGTTTGATTTCAATATAACTCAAAGCAGTTAATATTGTGTTAAACCTAATAAATACAAGCTGTGGGAAATTTTGTTTCACACTACAATTGGTCATCAGTTTTTCTGTTAATCTAATCTATGTTATTAACCTGAAAATTTTTATCGGTAACCTAAAACAGATAAAACTGATGACGTTGCACTGTCGATATAAATCAAGTGTAAATATTGCTTTTCGGACTTGTCAAATACTAAACAAAGCCGTATTGGCCTATGGTCTAATTCGGGACGTTCACTCCCAGTTTCAATTGTCTTACGCTTAAGCTTTTTCAACTTTGAACGTATCGTTCTGCATAACTTACATTTGCATTATATTTGTTTTTAATTTAGAATAACATAAAATATCTTTAAATGATGTTTTGTGTTTTGTAACGTCTTGAAACGGAAATTTTTCACAGAATTTTCGAGTAAAACTTTCGATTATCATCATTGTTTCATTTCCGTTGATCAATCATCATCAGAACGAAGACGACTCAATGGTTAAACTGTCTAATCTATTCTTCCAGCTACTTTATATTTGCTACATAAAAGGAATTGTAATAGCAAAAGATTAAGTGATTGGACGAGAAATCATGAATTACATCAATGTTGACAAAACATCCATCGTTACTGCGAAAAGACAATTTCATATATGAATCTCTGTATCTTCTTCGCGGTAAGTTTTTTATTTCAATCATAGAAATTTAATAAAAATGTTATGATCTGGCTGTTTCTGTACTGGACCTGTTATGGATTCTCTATCAGCTGTATTGTCTCTCGAGTCTTTGAGTCTCGGGTTCAATACAGCTTACCTCGAATCTATAGCAGGGCAAATATATAACACCCAGTTGATAACACTACAATACAAGACTTAAGCTTAAGATTAATATAAACATACCTTTTTCTAGTGTAACGTTAGTCTTGAATTCATGTTCCCCTTGAGAACATGTCCATTGTCCGTCTATTAAATCTTTGTGTATTGCCGGTAGCGTTAAACTGATTTCCTTTGTTCTTGAATGAAACATTATATTTCCAATTTTGTTAACAGGAACACAGCGTAAGGCATCGTCTTTGAAAACGCATTTTGCTTGTTCCTGACCTAATCCATCTTTAAAGGATACCGCAGATTCAGAATTTTGAATTCGACAAATAAGTTTTAGATGATTGTTGTCGATTACCCATGTCAAACAACCAGGAACAACTGAAGGCGTTATTACTAAAATAAAAACATACATTTAAATAAAACACAAGACAATTTCTTGGTGGTTTGTTATGATATCCTATCCGAAATAAAAATAAAGCGATGACAACTATCCTCAAAGTTACAATGAAGTGAAAATAATCAATATCATGTAATCTGCTATCAAAAACAGATATATATATATATATATATTAGACATAAACCAACAACAACTACTGAACTAAAGACTCCTGATTTAACTGGCTCATTGATAATGTGGCGGGGTTAAACTAGTTAATTCGCACCAAACCCGCCCCTAATCTGGGACAGTGGTGTAACAGTACAACAGATGAAAAAACTATAAAAAACAGCTGAATTCACCAGATTGGATCAAAGCAGAAAACATCTAACGGAAACAAGGATCGGACGTGACAGCGTATCTATACAACCCATAACAAAGGACGTCAAGTAAAGACTTGAGTACTCGCAGTTAATGACAGCGTGTTCAAAGCCAATAACAACAAAAAACAATCAGATATCTAAGACTAAAATACAAATCGGTACACATTCATCATTCAAAGAATTAAGTGTAAAGACGTCATTAAACGTCAGAGTCAAACAGGACAAAATATAGGTATACAATGAATGTGTATATATTCCCGTAATATTAAGAATGTGCTATTCCGTTTTAAATATGTTTTCTACAGGTACAGCCAAACATGCAAACCAAATCTTGGTATTTATGGAAAAATTAGTTTTCAGGTAATTTGTGGTAACGAACTCCCTGACGCAATAGTTTGTCAGCAATACAATTCAAGACTCTCATGATAAACGTTAATAGTATGATGGGTTATGTTTACATTGTCACTGATCAGTCGTTTGTAGACAAGATGTACACAATTCTAATCGGGAGGTTTGGCTAGCCATAAAACCAGGTTCAACCCACCATGTCTTCTTAAGATATCCTGTTCCAAGTCAGGAATATGGCAGTTGTTATCAAATAGTTCATTTCTATGTATGTTGGCGTTTGTTTTTGGTGCACTTCAGTGTTCCTTATGTTCCTTTGTTTTCCTCTTATAGTTGATATGCTTCCTTCGGTTTTAGTTTGGGGCTCGAATTGTTTTCTCTCAATCGATTTATGACTTTTGAACAACGGTATACTACTGTTTCGCTTCTGGCGTAAATACAAAATTTTATCCTGGTATCTATGATGAGTTTATTTACAACCACTGGGTCGATGCCACTGCTGGTGGAGTTTTAATTCCCCGAGGGTATCACCAGCCCAGTAGTCAGCACTTCTGTGCTGACATGAATTATCATCGATATGGTCATATTTATAAATCAACTGTTAAGAAAAATTTTGAATTTTTGAAATACTAAGGCTTTTCTACCACAGGAATAGATTACCTTAGCTGTCTTTGGCAAAACTTTTAGGAATTTTGGTGGTCCTCAATGCTCTTCAACTTCGTTCTTTATTTGGCCTTTTTATTTTGTTTGGATTCGAGCGTCAATGATGAGTCTTTTGTAGACGAAACGCACGTCTGGCGTAAATACAAAATGTAATCCTTGTATCTATGATGAGTTTATTTACTAGTCCTGACATCTATGATGCGCTCATTATAAATATATATATAGGATTACTTTTTACATGTCAATACATTTAAAGCTGCTTAGTCTTTAGTTTTCTATTATTTGTCTGTTTGTCGTTTTCCTTTTTAAGCCATGGCGTTGTCAGTTTATTTTCGATTTATGAGTTTGAATATCCCTCTGGTATCTTTTGCCCCTCTTTTGAAACACTTCTGCAGATATGTATGGTATATTAGTTTTTGTCATCGATGAAATCAGTTATTAATGAATATTTTCCCCGAATGTGTTTTCTACACCACACAAATATATGGTCTCCCTCAATATGTATTTACAATTGTTCCAGACTCTTGACAAAGGGACACAATGTATACATCCCCATCTATTGTCGACAACATTTAATTTTGTGACATTTGTTTCTTGTCTCATTGACGTTCAAAATGTAAACATCACATCCTCGTTTTATATACTTCGTGTCGTTTGTACGTTATTTAAAAAAAACCGATTGTTTTTACTCTCTAGTGTGCTGGTTTTTCCTTGATTTTTAAGATATAGTAATAAAAAAAAACCAATACGTATCATTTCATCATTGTTCTATTAACAACATACCTCTAAGAATTGCGAAACAAACTATGAATGCGTATGGGACTGGTGCCATTGTATAATTCTACGACGTCTAAAAAACAAACTACTGCATATGAATAAAAACGTCAATAATAGAAATTAGCAAAACTTAATATTTTCAATACTCTGGTTTAATTAAATCAAACATGTGTGTGGAAGTCCTGTATCTGGCACTTATTAATTTGTTGTCGACAACGAAGAAGGTGCAGCAGGAAATTTTAATTAAAACTAAAAGAGGCCATATAAAAGAAATACAAGGGGATCACCATCAAAGGCCATTGGGAGGAAAAAGAAGACGACCAACAGGGAAGATGGACGGGGAGTTAGTACAGTGGACATATGCCACAAAAGAAGAACGGAGTTGGATGCTAAAGAATGGACAGAAAAAGACACGGAGCCGATGTGGAACTCGTGGAGACGCAATGACATGATGGAGCTGGCATATTGCTAGTATCAGTTTAAACATATTTGTTTATAGTGGATTGGGAAACAAGTTATAACAACTTATATCAGTTCCTCTCCACTTTGCGGATGCGAGTGCTGCCTTGTAGCGGCATTAGAATGCTCTTTACAAGGGTGTCTTTTACGTGCAAGAGATATTGCTCTCTCTTAACACGGGTCAGACATTTATCGTCCCCATCCGACGGACTATTATCGTTTCTTAAGACCATACTCGCAAATGGTGTCAAGGGAGAGCCGAAAATTAAGTCCCTGAAATTTTCTCCCCGAAACGGGGATCGAACCAGGAACATTTGTGTATGTAGTCCGATGCGCTAACCACTACACTACAACTACTACGGCTCTCTAGTATACAACGGCTCTCTACTAGTATTAGGTAATGAGTCGGAGGAAGATGCACGGGTGTTCCTCCCTTTTATGGGATTTGTTAAACTGGTTTACAGTTAAAAGATTTGGACTCCCTACTGGATGCGAAAAGGAAACTTTTACCTGGTCCTAATTTCTTTATTATTCACTGTTGAGCTAATGATTTGACGTTACCAGGCTTTATTCAAAAATGTTATTATAATCTGTTCATCAAAGCTACAGCGCAGATACTGGCATTTCGCAACCTTAAATGCTGGTCCAATAATCGAACAGAAGAGGAAAAGAGTTCATTCGGTTATCAAACCTTTGTAATAGAAAACGGTTAGAAAGCTATTTTACATGAGAACATTAGGACAAATGAAGTTTTTATACAGAAAAAATGGAACTAATTTATCACAAACTGGAAATCAAGTTAGTTTTCCTAAATAATATACAAAGAGGGGGTGGGGGGAGTGAGTCTTTACTAAGCACAACAAAATCAACTTTGCCTCAATGCTTCAATAATTAAAATTTTGTGGAGGTGGGAACCCAATTCAGATCTGGTAGCTGACTGAGGCTCTCATGTGGCAGTCCAGGGAGACTGGTAGTGATTGGGGAATTATTTTACTTGGCCCTTGCTCTGGGCCTGACAAGTTATACCATTTGCAGGTTTTGAACATTTGGTTATTTTAGAGGGGAGGCCTACACCTACCAACAGGTGGGGCACTACTAACTGGAGCATTGGTAATACGAGTGATTTCCCCGTCACTCCCAATGGTAGGTGGTGGAGTAATCGTGTTTGAACTACCAGGGGTTTTATGACACTATGTCAAAATAGGTCAGCTGATAGCCTAAACAAAATATTATAGAATAATCTGTAGCCTAAGTAATGCCACAAAAGGAAAAAAAAAATGTATATTCTAGTCATGAAAATATAAATACAAGTTGGTGTAATCAAATGTATGTTTCATTTGTATAAGTGGTAAAGGTTGCCAATGCATAACAGAGGATGGAACCTATACACAACTTAGTATAGTGTACAGGTATCATACAGTATTTTAATCTTAATATCTGTGAATTATAATAACAACAAGCAAAGAGAGACAACTCTATAACAATTTTAATCACTTTGTGATTAAAAAAAGACAGAAAACAAAAACAACTCTTTGTCGTTGTTCTTCATCTCATTGTTATTAAATCAGTATTATTTTAGGGTCTTCTTCTATGAGTATTGCAATTAAAACATCATACTTCAAAGTAATAGGACGAAACGACAAACAACCGTCTAAAAAACACCACACACAATACCAACCCCCCAAAACCTAGAGGAATCCCATGTGCTCCAAGGTAACTGCTAATGGCAAGTAAAGCTCAAGGAAAAAAGTGCATTCAGTAATGTCATGATCAAGAAAGGATGAAAGATTGTTTTGTGATAATTGAAATAAATCAGTGGTCATTGGTGACAAATATTCAATAAAGGTCGGCGAAATCAGGACGGCGTCCGTAAAATTTTCAACATTTCTGTTTAATAAAACCATTGGTTCAATGCTGCCTCCTTTTCAAAGATTAACCCTATAATAAGAAAAATCGTTGTAAAAAAGGAATGAACGGATCACAATTGGAAAGCGAAAATCCTTTCTTTTGTCGTAAAATTGAGTTCATAGCTGTATTTCAATTTCTAAATGTAAGTCCAGATTGGAGCAGACCTTACTTACATTTACTTCTTTTATCCTTTATTTCAAGTTGGATTGCATCGATGCGTTCAGCAGGGTCACCAAACTTTTAATAATTTAGTGAGATAATAATATCTATAGAGTGGAAGATGAAATGACTTGATAATGCCAGCGTCTGTTTCTTTTTTCTAGGAATCTCCTGAATGACGTTTGTCTAATATGAAGAAGGGAACAATATGAAAAAAAGAGAAACATGGTCGGTTCCAATAGGTATGCCGATTGTTTTTTAAAAATATGTTGTTATAAAAAAAAATCAAGCATAGTGATGATGTCAATTTCATAGCACTTTTTTTTTTAAATCACTCCAACATCATGTCACAAAAAGAAATTTATGTACTTTGTACTAAATATAAATATCCTGTAATTTGAAAGGATAATAATAACTTATCATATCTATTCTATTTTAAGGATGTTTGCTCCTCTTGTTTTTGAACTTCGTCAGATTTTTGGAATCCATTGATTTTATCTATTTATTGCCATTAAAAAAATTTGCCCACTAATCCCTACTTTTCTTTTCATAATTTTGTTAAATATTGTTTAAAAAGCCAGATTTGAAAATCTTATAAAATCCTTGTTTTTTTCATAGTTTTTGAAACAAAAAAGCATCCCATGTTAAAAGTATGAAATAATCTAGAGAGAATCATTTCCCGCCAAATAATGGCTTATACCTCGAATACAAGCACACAGACCCCTATATTTTTTTCATCTTATTCAATGCCTTTACTTATATACTATCATTTTAGAACAGTCTTTTAAAAAGCTGGTTATTTTTGAAACAGAGTAGCGAACATCCTTAAAGAAACATTTCTCTGAAACTGACATCATCATGGTGATTAAGTGCTTCATTTGCTATCAATATATGTTGTGTTTTTTGTTTTTTTTTTTTAAATTGACTGTTTCAAAAGTATGAATTTTTCGAAGTACAGAGGATTTTCTTATCCCAGGCATAGATTACCTTAGCTTTTTGGAACTTTAGGTCCTCAATGCTCTTCAACCTTTTCCTTGTTTGGCTTTATAACTTTTTTTATCTGAGCGTCACTGATGGGTCTTATGTAGACGAAAGGCGCGTCTGGCGTATTAAATTATAAGCCTGGTACCTTTGATAACTATTTGGACCGTTTGATAAAATGATAATGATAATTCGTTAAATAAATACATATTACCGAGTGAAGCTTTACATGCATTTACAGATACATTAAAACAATTTCCTCTTTTTTTTTTTATTACACACGGGATAACTTCTCAAACATAGCTAATATGTTTAGAGGAATACTTTCTAGATTCTTTTTAAGCTTTTTTTCAGATATTACGAAGCATTATTAAATTTCTTGAAATCCACTTATATATGCGTTTATGAGCCTGATGGTTATAAAAACAGACGTATTATTGGCCAATAAAACAGATTAGTTCAACCATAAAAAAAACCGACTGCTCTGGGAAAAAAAGATGTACAAACAGATAACCACAACATAAGATAGTATGTCTAGGTGCAGGTCCAACAAATGGTGTCATTTAATCATGTTATCATGTTATCGAGCACAAAAACGTTCTCCCTGCCTATCTTTGTCGTGAAAGTAAAACGTTTTGTGTATATCTAAAAATAGAAAGTCAGTTACCAATGATCCCATATTCCTAACATATACATTTAAACCTTTTAAAAATGTCTCACATTTTCTAACTTTGTAAATAGGTGAAGCATAATGAGTAATTTTGATACAATGTCTTTTATATTTACCAAAAGAAACCTTAAATTCGTGATTCAAACTATACTCACATATAACAACATTAACAAAGGTTAAATTGAACCATTGCAATTTCCAGTAATTTACCAAAAATCCAATTCCAACATAACTTTGAAAACAAACTTCGTAAGGAAATTTCTGAAAGGACAAAAATCATGCGCATTTTGTCATATATGTAAGATTTAAATTGTCCAATGTAGATATAAATATATATATTCATATAAAAAGGAAGTTTTAAAGAACCGTTAAAAGGTAGGTGTCACGATAAGTACAGACAGAAATTACTCGACATTTATTTTTTTTTGCACATTGAATTGAGGAATATTTATCTTCTATTTCTTTTTTATTGTTATTTTTTTCTAGGATGAAAGGCATATCATATTTGATAAGTACGTATAAACATGTGACAACTCAACGATAGATCAATCCATTGGAACAGCAGTGAATGTAATACACGGCTGTAAACACATATTATATGCACAATTACCTTAAATATCAGCACAACAATGTTAAATCTGTAAATTTGTGGAAGTAAATTTTTTGTTCTTCCCTCGCCGGGATTCGGACTCCTGCTACTGGGATATCGAGACAACACCGCCTGCACTGTGTCCAGCGCTCTACACAACTCGGCCACCTAGACTAAACTAAGTTTCAGCTTTCGGTGGCCTAGTGTTACCTTTCCCCGTCAGTAGAATCTACAGTTGTAACACAGTACATGATATATCAGGCATGCAGATTGAATTGATTGCAGATTATCTAAACTATCTATCGTAAAGGATCGTAAGATGTAGTCACAGAAATAATTGTCTTGCGATCCTTTACGGTAGATAATTTAGCTAATCTGCAATCAATACCGTAAAACATAAGTCATTTCGATATGATTTTTTGGGTCATTGTTCAATAATGTATAGATCTTATTTTGCTGAACTTATTGCATTTTATTGTTGTTCTCTATCGGTCAGAGTTTCTGCACAACTTTAAAAATTGTAAAATGGGGAAAAAAGATCTTGCAGAGCCAGTTGTTCTTATAATGGATCAAATGGCAATTTCGGTAACGTTGACTTATTGATATATCTTGTTGTGTGCAACATCTTTGCAAATTTACAATTACGCTATGTGTGTTGGTTTCTGTAAAAATGCAAAACGTATTAAAAGCCATCTTCAAGTGCTATAACTTTGATAACGGATCAACTGACGATGTTCGCAATGTTGACTTATTTGTTGATGTTATTTTGCTAAACATATTTAGTATTTTCGCCTCATATTTGATATGTGTGTTGGTAGTGTTGCATAATGTCCATACATTGTGATATTACAGACGAATACTTGAAAAATGTCAAACGAATACAATGACCTTGTCAGTTTAAGGATGAAAGAAGATCACGTTTGCCCAAACAATATCTTAAATAAGCGTATAGCAAACAGTTTTTCTACTAATGATGATGTTAGAAAGCAAACAAATACTATTAAATTTACAACAACACATTGAGCGGTCAAAACCCAGAGTTCCGAGATTCAAAAGCATTTTATATAGCTAACCAAGGGGCTAAAAGTTCTGTAAGTTTTATCTTTTTATTCTCCGCCTAACATGAGATTAAAACTAAACAAACTAAAACATGTCCCTTAGATAATAATGGAACTGATGATAATTTAAAGCTGTTGACAACATATACCTGAACAAGAATGAACTTTCGTTTTCTCTTCACTTCATGTTTACAAATATTCGGGTATATTCGTTATGATTTATAAACTGATCTTTGCCTTCATGTGGTTATTATTTTGAACATTCTATAGCTATTCATCTTTCGAATCATTAGTTATTGATTGTCAGCTTAATTAATCTATTTAAAATCAAAATCAAGTAAAATCACCTGTTTATTTATTTTGACGTCCTCCGTAATATATAATTGTGAGAAACGAAATACATTTTTACTATATAATTTTATGTAATGCAATTATTTTTACAATTATCTTACTGTTCAAACTGTATGCTAAGGTGTGTAAACATTGACAATTTTGTCATTGGGAACAGGTTACCGTTTAATTTACATTATATTAGCTGTATTTTGATCTCCTTGTAGTAAACACTTGAATGATTATGCTGAAAGAAGACATAAATCGTACAGTTCTACTTTCATTGATTTTCATAAATGGTAGGTAACCTTGAAAAAACGAAAAACAAGTTGTCGATCATTATTTCTTTAAAACCCAGTTAGTACATGTATATATAGATATATACATATAGAGAGAGGTACTTGACATTGACATTGAATGCATAATTGTAAATATTATTTCTGTATCACATGACAACTTATTAACTTTATGCATATATGATGTTCATAACACCCAAAACGGTATACGTTTGCCTGGTCAACTATGAAATTTTTTGGTTGAAATTTGACTTAAAAAAAGTCAGCAATACATTTTTATGCTTTATTGCCTTCAGTTCTCTTTATACACAATATTAAAGTAATTATTGGAAGATAATATTAAGACGTTTTGTACATTTGTGGCTTTGAGCATTCCTGATAAACGTTAATCATGAAAGAACAAGGGGACGAGACAAATTATAAAGTGTTTTTTTCTTCTTCATTTTTTATTGTATCAACACAATTAGTTCACAACATGATAATTGTATTCTTCTTTATTGACACAGGTCTCAATTCATGCAATTTTGAGATCTGCTTTACATGGAAGGTATCACCAGATAATCTTACACTTATCTGTAAAGTTCATAGCTTGAAATACCGCGTCCGAATCCAAAACCCCTACCACATTCAAGTAGCAGATTGTTTTCCGGCTTTTGGGAAAAGCATATGCGACTCTACATATAAAAATGGTACTATCCACCAGGACAAAAAGAGCAAAACAACAGTGTATACCGTCAACGGAACCATAGATAATCACGTAAATGGAATTTGGACATGCATCCATGGAACTAAAATAGACAATGCAACTGTTGATGTAACAGTTTTTATACATAAAGGTAATCCAAAGCATTACATCAATATTATTGTTTAATTAAGTATGCCCTTCTTTCCCATGCTAAATTACAACTTATTTATTGTGAAGCATCGTCTGATTGTCTTTCACAGAGTATAACGAATAAGTGTAAATCTCATTTTGTCATTAATATCTTCAGCTAATCTCTTTTTATTATCTTTTTGTTCTATTGAATTCCCTTTTTAAAGTCTCAGAATAATTTTTTGGATATTAATAAATAAAACCAAATGATGCAAGGTAGATTATCCTGCATTACGTATGATTCTGTAACATATAAAGTACAATACGATCACCATATGGCCGTCGGATTTATGTTGAATGCTTAGGTATCAAATCCACATCAGTTAATACACAATAACTACATATATAGACAGAAAACAGAGCAAAGGAAAGAAATGAACTCCGATCAAGTTTTAAAACAAGAAATATAAAGAAACTGTTGTCCGACTTAGTAGATTTAGGAGTTCAATTGTGAATGATAAGATTACTAAAACGACACTGTGGAAATTTAAAAATATTATAGCAATCGTCATTTGATATACATTGTAGTAGTTTGTTTTAATTAATAACTTAAAGAATACCTCTTTTAGTCAAATATTGACACAATCTGTGTTACCTTAGAAAAACATAAATCTTGTGTCATTTAAGGCGACAGCAATTTATCGATGTTCAAATCTCGTAAATTGACCAAAATGACAAATTAAGGTAACAAAGAAATACTTATAAAATCGCATGAACTCCAAAAGGAGCAAGTTAATATTGCAAACTGCAGGTTCCTGAGAATGATAGAAGAAAAGATGATATTTTAGATAAAAAAAAATAGTCGAAAAAAATGTGATAAAGAAAAGAAGAAATACCGTTTATTAAGCTATGAAAGCCCCAATCTGTACAAAAAAAAAATTAACGAAAACATGAAAAGGCAGCGGCCAACGACAACCACGTGATTTAAGGGCAGCTTATTAGGACTATGTACATGCAGATTAATAAAATTAGAGCGATCTTTCAACCCAACCCTCACCATGAATAGGTTGTAACATAACAATATAATTACTTGGTTATTGAAATAAATCATTTATTTTAGAATATAAAGTTAACCACTCGATAATTGTTAGACATAATAACGGACGTAATGGAGTAGGAGTTAACTATTCTGAACCCACCCGTAGTAATCAAGTTGTATTGACAGGTAAGAAAATACATTTAAGCATTATAAAATGAAAATTCCTTCAAGTTTTATATCATATTAAATGTAATTACTACTGTGATTTTCATTTATATATATATTTGTTAAGTTTGCTTTTAAATTAACATAATCAGTTTTGGTATATTCCACTATGCCACCATTTCTAATTAACCAGCAATGAAGTTTTCCTTTTTAGAAATGATGCATTTTTAATTAACAATATCACACGACTTTGATGGAATGAATTCGTTTCTTTTTATGTAAGGTATCGATCAAAACTTTTAAAAATAAGGGTTAATTGTAAAGAGTATTCAATGTTTTAATATATAGTTTTATATATGGCGACAGCAGTGTTAAAGAACATCCGTTGTTCGACCTGCTAGTCAAATGCGTTTTGTTAAAATATACTTTTTTCACATTTTTTTGTCTTTTGGAAAATGTTGTTTGTGCTGTATTTAGACCCCTCTGCCAAGAAATTGTTTTGCATGCACAAGTATAAAAAATGCGGTTTTTATCCAACGCAATCATAAGTTTTAACGTTGTTTTTCAATTTAGACTTGTTTTATATACATATATATATTAAGATCCATTTTGTTACATCTGGTGTTTCGCTTTTTTGGCAATCGCCAATGGCAGTCAGCAGGGTTTAAGAACATCCGTTGTTCGACCTGTTAGTCAAATGCGTTTTGTTAAAATATACTTTTTCACTTTTTAGGTCTTTTGGAAAATGTTGTTTGTGCTGTATTTATACCCCTCTACCAAGAAATTTGTTTTGCATGCACACGTATAAAAATTACGGTTTTTATCCAACGCAATCATAGGTTAGAACGTTGTTTTCAATTTAGACTTGTATATATATCATTGATACATTTTCCCCTTTAATTATTCTCACATATTGTTAGTATTTTTCTATTACTTTTAGATTATGGTTGTATCTTTCATCTCTTGTTGTCGACGTTCGTATGCTATTTTGGTTTTATGATTCTTATATGTTGTATTATAAAGTTCGCTGATAGATGTTGCAATCTCCGATTAGATGGTAAGGTTAATAAATATGTACTGTCAACATAATTTCATATATTACGGCAAATCATGAAAGTATTCAGTGCATATCAGCTTAATCAAACGAGTTATCATATTTATATTTATCTTCGAACCGATAATTGCAATTACATATGGCATTATTTTCCATGTTCTTAGGCCACTGGTGTGATGGTTCGTCTTGATTGTATTTGCCCATGCAAACCTATAGGAAATGTATACAACAACATTTAAAAGAAATACGATAGTCATTGACACAACTATTCCTCGTTGAACAAAGAACGCGTTAATAACAAGGTCATCTATAGGCTTTCAATAATTAACAATAAATCAATCATAGATATCAGGATTGAAATTTTGTATTTGCGCCAGACGCGCGTTTCGTCTACAAAGAACTCATCAGAGACGCTCGAATCAAACACAGTTAAAAAGGCAAAATAAACAAATCAACTAGCATATGGTAAATGAGAGGCAAAAGATATCAAATGGACATTCAAACTAAACTAACAACGCCATGGCAAATAAGAAAATCATAATAAAAACACAAAAAAAAAGTACAAAAAACAATACAAAAAACACTACATAGAATACTCAAGACTGTCTAACACGAACCCCACCAAAACCGCAAGATATGAAAAACCTGCCAAAAAACAATACACACCCATTAGGCCACGCCAAATTAATACCTCGTTTGTCGGATTCCCCGCGTGTTGTGAAAGGTCGACCAGAAAAAAGAACTTTTTTTAAAAACCCGCGTCCAGTACGGAGCCGCGCGCAGCTGTTTCTAAATTTATGAAACAAAAATTTTAATCAGTTGTGCGTTTGAAAGTTTCACCAGACAGACACGGAAATTGATATCAAAAACGATCTAGATCTAACATTCACAACGTTGTTGTTACAAGATCTTACAATATTATTACCAAATTTAGTATGATAAGCATTCTTTACGCAAGACATGAGTGGACTATTTGTAGTTACAGTGGTAGCGCAGGCAAAAACATCAGTAGAATACGATTTGAGCAATTCTTTTACCGATTTGTTGGAAGAGCTCCATGCAAGATCACAAACGTTCATAACATCAAACTACAATTACGACCCAGGCAATATGACAGCAATTTTAAAACCAGTTGCAACTACCATCCCTAAACGATCGTCGAAACGAAAACAGATAATATCCTCTTCTTCTATGGCATACACGGTGAAGCCAATTTACCATCTGATTAACTGAAGAAAAAAAACATCTAGGGCAACCAAGAACATGCATTATGTTCAACATTTCCTGAGATTGCAAACAAAACCCGAAAAATTAAAATCCTGCTTCATATCAAACACAATTAAAGATTGAAACCTACTACCACCGGATATTTTCACTAAGATTCAAACAGCAGAAAAACCAGCTAAAATTTTCAGTGATATTGTAAGGAGAGTCTTACTTAAGTGAGTTACTTGATTCACACTCAGCGTAGTAATATCCTTGAATAATTCACCATATACCTATCAAGATCAAATGACAAAGCAACGACGCCACCGAATTGAAAGATTTAAATTATGACAATATAACATCCATAAGAATAAAAGAGAATCCCAAAGGCAAAGTTGATGGTGCATGAATTGAAATGGAACTGCAAATGAAACTATTTTTTTAAATCTGTTTTAGAATAAAGGTTTTTCCTTGATTTTTTAATTTTTTTTATTTATATTTGCTAGTATCATTACAAAGTTATATTAAAAAAAAATGAGAATTGAAATGGGGAATGTGTCAAAGAGACAGCAACCCAACCAAATAGCAGAAAACAGCCTAATGCAACCAATGGGTCTTCAACACAGCAAGAAAATCCCGCACCCAGAGGCTGTCAGCTTGTTGAATAAACAATTATTTATGGTTGTATATACAAGCTTTATACATGCATTTATGCTTTGCATACGTTCATTTAAAATAACATACAATGCATCAATTATAACTTACATTAAACATGGATGCAAGGCATGCCTGTTCAAAGCTGTTGCACTTTTTCATGTTCAGCAGGATCATAGTTATTTGATCAGACTACACAAAGTTGTAGGTTTTGCTGCAAGTTAACCATTTTATACTTGAAAATGTTGTGAAAAGATTAAACTGGGTGTCAGAGAACAAATTTAGAAGCACAGTAGGGTAATATAAGAACTAGGGTATGAGATATATTAAATATCAAGCACCAAAACTATGTAAATTTCTAATCGCTCGCTTGCTTAAAATTCTTTCCATAGATTTTTTTTTTTTAAATATTTCAAAAATAATATCGCTCGCTAGTGAAAAATTCTTTCGCCAGCCAAAAATCAAATTTCGGAAAAAAAAAACAAATGAAAAAATTTCGCTCTCTCGCTACCCTTTTTCAAAGGAAAGAGTCCGAAGAACTAGAAATTAATTTGGTGTGGCCTTACAAGGACAACTTGCGGCCTGAATATTACTAAAAGTTGCCATCATTCCATAATGCAAATTATAAGATAGTTCAGTAAACAGAAGTTGGAAAGGGAATTTACTTATCAACACCTTATAATATCTTTTCCCAAAGTATCTTGGTATCATTTATCTACGTTTTCTGTGTTTTAAGTTGATCACCGTATAGTTTCAATTTGCAGATACATGTCATTCGAGGATTATCAAAATGTTGTTCTTGAATATTTTGCTCCGATCCAGTAAATTGAAACGAAAATCAATACATAGACGAATCCCAAACAAATGCAAATGTAGGCAAATAATCAAACTGCCATGTTACTATGGATTTGTTTGTCGAGTGACGAATTTAATCAGAAACTACGATCTTAATCAAATATTTAGATTTTTAAAATTCTTACTGCTTACAATTTACCTGATGTCTGCATCGAGCCAAAAATGTTTGTGTAGTAACTAATGTTTTAATTCATGGAAGATATATGAAGAATTTTCTCATATATACATCATTCAACTTTATTCAATTTTCTTCATTTAATAATGAAAGCTAAATACAGGATATGGTCAATTTTTAAATTTAAAATTCCTTATAATTATTAGGTGTTCCCACTTTTCCGTGGAAAGACCCTTTGATTTTGTTCTGATTATTGTTATTTTCTTCTTCCGCCAAATTTGTGTCTTGTATAGTGGTTTTGCAAGATGTCGCTTAGAGATTTTGGATTGTATATAGAACAACTATTGGGCCTGTGATACAATTATATTGTAAGAGTTATCTTCCAAAGCAATCTGTTTTTCTTGCTTGTTTATTTCAAAATGATAACGACAATTTTTTTTTGTATTCGTTGTTTGATACATCCACAGCAACTTTTGCCTAATTTGGACAGAAGCGATTCGGTGAAATATTATAGGAGTAATCCACCCATAACAATTTTAACTCTTAAACCGTAAACCGTATAGACGTGGGGAGTTTTAATTATTCTTTGATATCCGTAAGCTTTTCTAACATAATGATGTCAAGGTCGAAGGTCAAGGTCATTTTCCTAATTTTAACTTTTACTGGTGTTCTCTGATACGTTTTAACTGTTTGTTTTATTATGATGCAGATAGCATACATTTTGTCTGAAACAATCGAATGACATCCAATTGGAGTTATTGCCCATGACATGTTTAAAGTAAAGGTTATATGATTATTACTTCAAGTTGGAACATGATCAAGCGTTTCTGGTCTTTTGCGAAGTTTTGGTTGACATATGATCTTGAAAAATGTTAACTAGATTTACCCATTTTTGCCCTTTTTATGGAAAAGGACCCAGAAACAATATTTTCTTTTGGAATACAAAAAAACAGTTATTTAGACCGCAAGTGATTTTTTTAATAAACTGGCAGCAGCTAATGTAAAAACATCTATCATTTGAGACCGGAAGTTTGACATTTTTCCCTTTTTTTAAGCAAAAGCATAATAAACACATATTTTTTAATCTGTGAGAAAAATACTATCAAATGAGACTGGAAGTGAAATTCCTAATCTGGAATTAGCGAATTATAACCTTTATTTCATGCAAAAGTATAAATTACCCATATAGTTTTGGAATCTAATACAGCTCTCATATGAGAACAGAAGTGACTTTTTTTAAATCGAAAATAGCAACTAATCTCCCTTATTAAAGACAAGTTTATATATTTTTTTAATTAGTATGATGGTTGCTTTTTATCAATTATTTAGTGTGTGGAATGACCTTGAATAGTTCTCTGAGCAAATGAATTTCATTATACGCAATTTCTTTAAACAGCGATGCTTTCAAATAAGGTACAAGCCATTGTATCGTTTTAGTAAAAAAGCTAATATGATCTCTTTGTTAAAAAGGTTATGATATTTTTTTCAGAGACAATATGTGTGTGTTCGTACAAATGCTATATATTTTGTGTCAGAAAATTCGAGGCTGAAACTGCTAAACGTATGTAATTTTATAAATACTTTGCTGCCTCTATGAGAAGCACGTTCTGCAGTCCAAACGACTTAATTTAATGTAACATATTTAAGTGGACGTGTGCAAAACGTATGTAATACCCTCTATTGTAATTTCTGCCTCTTGCTATATTTTGTTTAGTTTTGAAGAGAAGAAATACGAACAAACTCATAAAACTTGTAACTATACAAAGAATAAAAAAATACGGCAGTCAATTCTGATATCTGCTCTCTCTCAGCATTTGTAGCGTGAATGAATAACTTATATAAGAAAACGATACCTGTATTATTCTTCTAGGACCGCTGATACATTTACATACATATACAATGTTCTAACAACTGTATAATTTCACAAAAGGGACGGAGCTTCTAAAATAACATATTGTTATGACGAACTTGACAGGAAGAAAATCATAACGTCAAACGTGACAGAAAATATAAGAGTCCTCGACTCAAAATGCTTATATTAATAAACTATTGTGCCATAACCAGTCTAGACATATCAATTCTTTCAGTTAAGAACTCAGAAGTATTCACTTTTGGGTTCACGAGTAGAATATTGACCCAGCGGTAACGTTTTGAACAACACATGACAAAGTTGGGCCATACTTGCGTCATCAATACAGCTAATAATTTAAAGTAAAACGTAAAATCTCGATATACAAAAGTAACAAAATTTCATTACTTGGGAATCACCATTGAACACATTTACAACACTCTTTTTAAGATACGCTTGAGACTATACGTCGAGAAAGATTAAATATACATTTGTAATGCATACACACCAAGTAAAGAAAAAACAAACTTGTCTGATTGATTTTCAACCAAAACTGTTAACAAACATACCAATTTATGGATTTGAAATTTACAGACATAAGGTATCACATTAATTACATCAGTGTCACATGGTAACCGTGTGGATGGCATCAGCAAGAATTAAAAATCCATTGTCGGTGGTTGCACAAAATTACAAAATTTCTTGACACAAATATTTACTTTTCAGAAAAGAGACTTTGTAATTTTCAGAATCTTTACATTTTAGAATTGATAAGGATTTTTTCAATTTTGATACCAGTAATAATATTTGGTTTAGTTGTTATAATTGTAAACATCGAGAACTGTTCGTCAGTAGGTAAGTACATGCTGAATTTATCATCGATATACTTTTAATGAAATTGTGCCACACAAAAAGCTATGTTAACGATATTGGGAAATTATGCTCTTTCGTCTATATATAGACAATTCTTAATCCAACACGTATGTAAATAGATATAATAGATGTCAGAAACTTTTAAAGCACTTAATAAAATTCCAGATTTTCGATTACTTAAGTTATAAAAATATGAAAATGTGGTATGATTACCAATATGACAACCATTAATCAGAATCCAAATAACGTATCTGTTATTAATTAGTAAAGTTCTCCTCGTCTTTGCTGCAAACCGAAAATCGAAAGTCAGTTTACGAAATACAAACAAAAGTCAAACAAAGAGCAGAATTAACAGAAAAGAAGAGAAGATGGTTACGAAAATTGACGAAAATTTATCTTTGAATTTTATAATAACATTTGATATAGATTCTTCTAATATTTTATTACACATTTTTGCCATTTATTTTTTTTTATCCAATTTACAGACAACATGTACATTGTATCTTTTTTCAAAGTGCACATGTAGCTAAAAAAAAATAACCTAGGTGACCTCTGTTCTTATGACAATTTTAAAGCACAAAATAAACAACATTCTGTTGGTCGTCATTAATACTTCATACTACCTCAATATCAAAATCAAATGTTACGCTTCATTGTCTTTAAGAAGAGTCACTAGAGGTATACTTTACATAATTATTACCTAGTATACAGTTGGAAAACGTCGATCAACGACGATTTATGATTTTACAACACCATTTTAAGTGAAGTCTAGAGGAAACCGAGGTAAATCATCGTATTGTTATTTCACTTCATTTATAAACAGATATTTATAAACGGAAAAAATTGATATTATTAGAACAATCGCTGAAATAAGTGAAGAGAAAAGAGTTCCGAAAATCCTCCTCATTAAAGAAACAAGGATAATAATTGGAACTCCAAAATACAAAATCAAAACATTCCTTGGTCCTAATAACAGATCTTCAATTTTCTTTGTAAAACATCTAATTTCAAAAGGGCAAAAACTGCCAAGGTTTCGCCCACTAAACTGATGCAAACTCTAAAATTTGACTTATCGCATACTAAAACGTTAATGGGAATAACAAAAGTGTCCCACACGAAACAACACATATCACATAAAGTTTGGGAATTGACGCATTCTTATTAACCATCGACATGATTGAGGATAAGCAGATACAATTTAATTTACGATCTTTTTTTCTTTTCATGAATTTAGACAAATAGATAAAAATGTAGTGGTTAAAGACGGACTGTTTGGATCACCATTATCTTACTCATTTAAACAACAACAGGCTTATAAAATACCCCATATTGTATTTTTTTTTTCTTTACAGGTTTTGTCCTCTGTCTAGTTCCAGGAGGTTTACTAGGCATATTAAGCAGCACCTGTGTCATGATAAGACAAGGTAAAGACCTTTTTTAACATTATTGTCATAAGTTTGTTAATGCTTTGGGTGTTTAATGCATTTTTACAATTTCATAGACAAAAGTATTACTATTCTTACATTCGTCACAACATATCATTGAAATGAATTAGTTTTAATTAGTATTTGATTTTTTTGAAATTAAGGTAAAACTATTCAACGAAAATTTGCATCTAACTGTTAGATTTGCTTACTCACAGATAAACTAAAAAATAAATCGAACTTGAAAAGTGTGAATACTCATCGTCTGTATGCAGTAAATTGTCATGACTAATTGCTTTACTTTTGGTGTATGCTATATATATTTGAATAGAGGCTATATGTATTCAAAATGGAAACATTTATTTCCAAAACGCACACATCCTCAAAACTGTTATATTACATACTTGGGTGGTTTATGCACGGCGAGTAATTACAATAAACAAATTGGAAAAATGTCGCATGAAACATTTCATAATCATCATTGCAGATGAAACAGCAAATGAAATACCACAGGTAATTCCTAATAATGATATTCAAGGTAAGTAAATAAACTTATCATAGATGCCAGGCTTATAATAATGTACGCCATTCTTCTACAAAAGACATGTGAGTGACGCTCAAATAAAAAAGTGAAACATATATATATGTATATTGATGATTTTCATGACATAAACAATTCACAGTTTTCTGGTTGGACCCTTTGATATATATTCCTGAACTTGAGATTTTAAGAAACCGCAGCACAGCAGCTCATTTCTAGACAGATACATCCAATTTGACTACAGCGTTCATCTTAATATGAAACGCTAGTAATTTCAATTTTGAAGTAATAGATTGTCTTCACCTTAGCAGCTAAATATAAACTTCAGCCGCATATAGAGTATACTTTTATCAACCCATACGATATTTAAGAGCGTGTAGCTCAGACTTTGTAAAACGGAATCGGTGTGTGAGCAAAAAATAACGAGCCAGGATTTGGTAAAAGATCATCTTGTCCTTTTCTAAACAAAAATCTTTCAGAAAGCACCAATAGCTTATATATAAACAAACAGCGTCTACCTTATAAATAATACAAGATGGTTTTGGATCATTTATTCTAGGTGCTGAAGTTGTATAATTATTATCTACGTGACAGTTTTCTGGTATTTGTTTCTTTTTTAGAGCTCTTATGTTCCTTTTTGGTTTTGTGACTCTTGACGTGACTCAGTACTTAATTATCCAACTATCGGGTCTTTGACTAAAGGCGTGCATGTGGCAGATGCATCCAGATGTGCGATTTGGACGCAAGACAGTTTTATTGCGTTGATTTCCTTTTTTACCCTTGCATTAATATTTTCCTTCATTTGCACTTGATCAGGATAGTGTATTTTAGTACAGCATTATGTTTTATTAACCTGTATGTACTTTCAAAATGTAAACTTCAGTTTGGAATGGCAAAACTCATCAGATTTATACGAAATACAAGAACTAAAATATAGACAAAAGATACAAAGTTTCAATTTTACAGTATATCACTTGAATATCCGAATTTCTTGAAGTCAAAGAAAAGGATGAAATAAAGAATTTCAATTCTTACTTTTTGAATGATGTAAAAATTTGTCATTGCCAAAGGCTTCACAACGATATATACTTGGATGCTCAATACATTTATAATACTATTGTGTTTTTTTTTAATTTCTTACATATTACACATTTAGATTTTTATATTTTCGGAGCAGCATAATTTTCTGTACTGTGTACTCGAATATCACGTTCATGCTAATTTATTGTGTCGATTAAGGTTAACAAAAATGCCATACTATATATATGTAAATGACAGGTATAACATCATTTTTATTTATGCTATGTTATAATCAAATCAAGGAAAAATGAGAAATTATATGACCTGCATGAGACAATCAGGAAGATAATGAGGTTTGTTAATTTCGAAAAGCTCCGGAAACATTAATTGTATTCTGTAAACAATTTACAAATGTACCACTTCTTTATAAATACTGAAATACACGTATAATTTACCACAGCAGTGTGTTTCTTTTGATCCTATTAAAGTTTAATGTCTTTGCGGTGCGATAATTTCAACTAGCGATAAATGCAGAAAACTACGTTTTATAGGATGAAACTTTAAATAAATGTTCATATGCACATGCAGATGTTTTATATTCTATTATCATGATTACATACAAAGATATTTTATGATAATTCAGTCGATTGCATTGCAGGTGACGATACACCAAGTACATCATGTATTCCAAATCTTGCTGATAAGGAGGACGATGGAGCCACCGTCTAGAATGTTTTTCTCTTTCATTCATTATATGCATTCTAACATACATTGTGCAATTAAAGAATGTTTGCCATTAGTTCTTTTTTTGTGTGCATGAAGAATATTATCAAACATAATTCTAAGAATAATTTTATTAGCTGTATTTATTCAGGGACGTAGAAATATGTTCTCTTTATATTAAACAAAGACTTCAAGAAGGATTTGGAATGTTATTTCATCTATAAATAGCATTGTACAAATTTCTTTGTAAAACTGTTTAGCTAGTGTAGTAATTAGTTAATACATAATGCTAATAAATATTGTAAGCCGCCGTGTTTCACCATAACTTATAAGGTTTCTTACTTTTCAAACTAACAGAAAGGAGAGCTGAGGGTAAACACCATAGGGACAGGGACAACAACTTTCTTACAGAAATACCACAAATAACGAACTTACGAAACAACAACATGTTTCATTACTATATTTATCAGTGCACATACTGAAAGTGAACCATTGTCGAGGACGTGGCAAGCATAATCAAACCCGGGAAATAAAACTGGAAAGATACCATAGGGACATTAAAACTCATAAGTCAGAAATAGACTGACAACGCCATTGTAAAAATTTAGTCTTGGATGCACGATTTGTTTTATTAGTTGTAAGTGGCTTTGAACTAGCTGTCAGTAGCTGCGAGTACTCTCAGTACTTAGCGTCTTTTTGTTGTTGGGATATACAAATACTCTGCCACGTCCACTCTGTGTAGTATTTGTATATGTATCCATCTGATGAGTTAAGCCTTTTTCGACTGATTTTTATAGTTCGCGCTTATGATGTACTGTTACACCACTGTCCCAGGTTAGGGGGAGGGTTGGGATCCCGCTAACATGTTTAACCCTGCCACATGCTGTATGTATGTGCCTGTCCCAAGTCAGAAGCCTGTAATTCAGTGGTTGTTGTTTGTTTATGTGTTAAATATTTTTTTTTCGTTAATTTTTTTAAACATAAATTAGGTCGTTAGTTTTCTCGTTGGAATTGTTTTACATTTATCATTTCGGGGCCTTTTATAGCTGACAAGGTGGTATGGGCTTTGCTCATTGTTGAAGGCCATACGGTGACCTATAGTTGTTAATTTCTGTGTCATTTGGTCTCTTGTGGAGAGTTGTCTCTTTGGCAATCACACCACATCTTCTTTTTTATAAACAACAGTACGCAATCACAACAAAGAAATATAAAGACTGAACAACACTTGACCCTCAAAAACTAGGAGTTATCTCAGGTGCTCCAGAATGATAGGCAGATACTGCTCCTACGTGTTGCGCATGTTAGTACAAATATAAAAAAGAAGATGTGGTTATTTAACTTCAAAATCAAATCTTTATATCTATGGAAAAATTTAGTAAAGGTTTCTTTTAAAGTAATTTGTGGTAACGAAATCCCTGGCTTAATAATTTCCCAGTTATACATAGATTACGTTCGTTAAAATCAAAAACGTCACAACAGACACGGTCATAGCGAAAATATAAACACCGTAAGATGGTGCCAAAGGAACATCACCATCCAAAAAGGGAATATGAACAATAGGAAACGTCCCTTTTGTCGTAAATTTTAGTGTGTAGTTTCCCGTGTAAAACCGAAATATCTAAATCTAGGAAAGGACAGTTATTACCGTTTAAATTAGATTTATTTAAAGTAAGTTCTTTTGGGTAAATTTCGGAAGTATTTTAAGAAAATTCTTGATTATTTAACGAAAAAATATCATCAAGATAACGGTAAGTGTTGTTGAATTTATCAATTAAATGCAAATTAGACGGATCTTTACTGAGTTTGGTCATAAACTGTGATTTCTAACAGTACAAAAACAAGTAGCTATTAAAGGGGCGCAAATAGTGCCCATTGGAATACCTACAACCTGTCGATAAACTTTGTTGACGAAACGTACATAAATATTATCAAGGAGAAAATTAACAGCTTCTATCATCTCATCACACCTCCAGTAAGTAAATCTAGCATATTTACCTTTCTCATTAGAGAAGAAGGCTTCAAATGAATTGCAGCAAATATATTTGCATTCAGATTTAACAAACAACAATTTAATTAAATAGGAAAACTTTTGTTTGATAAGATTGTGTGGAAATGTAGTGTAAAGAGTAAAAAAGTCAAAACTGTCAACAGAATCAAAAGGACCATCAAAAGCACGTAATTTATCAAAAACATCCAAAGAATTTTTGTTCTCCAAAAAAAGTTTATTCCGCTATTTTCATATATTTTATTACATTTAGTTATTTGATAGTAGTTAAGGAACTTGTTAAAAGCACTGAAAGATTAGTTGTAGAACACTTACTAGAGGCCGAGATGAAACGATATTTTACTGGTTTTTTTGTGTAGTTTAGGTAACCAATACATAGTAGGTACTTTCAAATGTTCAGAAGAGGCCTTAAGCTGTAATGTGTTTATGATATGTTTGTTAACTATATGACTCTCTGTGGAGCGCACGGACTTGAATGTAGATGAATTTAAAATTTCATTCTTAAAAACATCCGTGTAGTATTTACGGCATACCACAACCACATTGTTGGCTGCTTTGTCGGCCGGTACAAACGCAAACCGATTAGGTCATTCTTGAAGTTTATTTCTTATTCTGGAAATAGGCGTATTATCTACTCTTTTATTTATTTCTGAATTATTTTCAAAATGGGATATTCTATTATCTACAACATTCATATATTTATTTAAATAAGAATCAAGAGATTTTTTATCAGATTTTTCCCGTTTACACCAATTTTTACATAACAAGGAAAGAGCGTCTTTGGTGACCTGACGACACTGTTTCCAATCTGTATTAGATGGAGGACGATATTTTGGTCCTTTAACCCGGTGACAAGTCACACTCGGTAGATCACATTCGCGGAAAGAGGACGGGATTGTGTTTACGCATAAGAATAAAATATTGTTATTGTTATATCGTATTTATAGGAACAAGAAGACATAAACTAAGTGAAAATGAATAGAAAGTAGAATAATTTAAAGTAAAATAATCAAAACATCAGTCAAAGGTTGCACTTACAGACGGAAAAGTCGACATAGAATAGCTGCTTTAAATTGACTCAAGCGAAGAAAAGATAAAATATTCTGTATATGAAGCTTCAGACAAAATCTCAACGATAAAGGATTGCAGTAAGTAATTTGTTCAGATTTTGGTTCGGATACCTGCGAAGGACAAGAATTATTAGAAAAGTACCTATATGGACAAAATACTGTTATCGCACCTCGGATTAATTAGTGACGAATGCTAGGTTGAACGCCGTCACGTGATTACCCCTATAGATGCAAATGGAGATCATTAGAATTTATATTAGGTTCATAAAGTCAAGTTTACAACAGACAGGGCTTCCTCCGCCTCCTGTTTAGACTTATACTCTATTGGGGTTACGAGACAACACTGCCTGCACTGTATCCAGCGCTTTAGGCTTATACCTCAAATTTGACATACACAGTCATCTCAGTACCAGAATCTATGACAAACGAGACGATTTTAATTTTGAAATTATCAATTTCCCCCACCTTAGTAGCAATATACCAACTTAACCTGCATATGGGATATACATTTCCCAACTTATTCGGTTTTCAAGAGCTAGCAGCTCCTACGCAGACTTTTTAAAACGTCACCAGTGTCTGAGCAGAAAATTGATGAACCAGGGGTATGTCAAAGAACGTCTCGTCCTTTTTCTAAAAAGGTTCATTGGAACGTTACAAGACCTTGTTGATAAATATTCCGTATCAACTTCACAAATAATACACGATGGTCTTGAAGTATAGATTCTGCGTACTGATGTTGATTGTCATATTAATACGTGTTATAGTGTTTTTGTATTTGTCTTTATTAATATTACTTCTACTGTTTCGTCTGTTTTTTGGTGATATCCATTTGACGTGGCTCTGTACTTATGCATCCCGTCATTGTGTTGTTTGCATTATCTTTCATATTTGCTTTGTCCGTGTGACTGTTTGTGTTTCTTTGATACGTATGAAAGGGCTCTGTACTTAAACATCCCGCTATTGTGTTATTGTTCTATTATAATTTGTATTCTGGTCTTTCATATTTGCTAATGATTAGCCTACATGCCCTTTTGTGTTTCTTTAATACATAATGACGTGGCTTTTTTTTAGAAGAAATACACAATAAGCATATAGACAGGCGGCAAGAAGGAAAGGTAAACTTCTAATTTTCATTCTACAGAGGATATGACTAAAGAACTATAGACTATATTATTTTCGTACTTTGAACGACAACATCATTTTATATCTCTACCTATTCCGACGTCAAGCGCGCGGTTCTACATTAGAGTCAATGTTAGTCTGGCGATTCGGTCCCAGTGCTTTAGGTCTTTCGGTCCTTTATGAGTGGATTTGGCATTCAAAAATAAAAATTCAAAAATAAGAAAGCAATGAATGAGGTTGTTAAATTTGATATATGCCTTATTGTGCTTCTTTGTTAAATATTTGTTTGTTTTTATTGTGATTAAGATACTTGTGGTACTTGTACATCCTGTCATTATTGTTTATGATATTCTCGTATTCTTGTCGTTCATTTTTGCTAATGTGCTTTGTCTATATGCCTTTTGGTGTACTCGATACATATAGCGTGGCTCTGTGCTTGTGCATCCCGTTATTGTGCTATTGTAAAACTTGTTTGTTGCTAGTCGTTTATTTTTGCTATGTGCTTTGTGTATATGCCTTTTTATGTTTCTTTGTTACATATTTGACGTGAATCTGTACTTATATATCCCGTCATTGTGTTATTGTACTATGGTAAATCAGTGTATTCTTGTCTTTAATTTTTGCAAATGTACTTTGTCTATAGCCATTTGTGCTACTTTGTTTCAACACAATGTTGACTGCTATACCCATATTTTTGACATTCCACCTGTTATGTCTGGTTTGTTTTTGGTTCACACATCGTTGTCAATATAATAGACTTTTATGCGACTGTCATACAAGTGAGAGGTTTAGCTAGCTATAAAACCAGGTACAATCCACCATTTTCTACATAAGAAAATGCCTGTACCAAGTTAGGAATATGACAGTTGTTATCTATTC